GAAATTTACCCTGTGGATTTTTGTTACTGTGAAGCATAAATTCTGTTTCAGTGATATTTTTTGAGGGGAAATTTACCCCGTAAAGTCTTGCTATCTAAAAGATGGGTGTTTTTGCTTTGAAATATGTGTATAAACTGTATCAATATCATTTTTGAGAGAAAAAAAATTACTCTATAGATTGTTGCCATCTTCACGATGTTTGCGAATCAAAAAAAACTGTATTAGTGATTTTCTTTGGGGGGGGGGGGGGAATTTACCCCGTAAAGTCTTGCTATCATCCAGATGGTTGCTTTTGCTTTCCAACACTGCATATAAACTGAATCAATGTCATTTTTGAGAGGAAATATACCCTGTAGAGTTCTGCGATTTTCAAAGTGTAATGTTCACTTTTTATAAGAGTAGTGAATACTGTATCAGTAATATTCGTTGAGAGGAAATTTACCCTGTATAGTCTTGCTATCTAAAAGATGGTTGCTTTTGCTTTCCAACACTGTATATAAACTGAATCAATGTCATTTTTTAGAGGAAATTTACCCTGTAGAGTTCTGCGATTTTCAATGTGTAATGTTTGCTTTTTATAAGAGTAGTGAATACTGTATCAGTAATATTCTTTGGGGGGAAATTTACCCCGTAAAGTCTTGCTATCTAAAAGATGGTTGCTTTTGCTTTGAATTACTGTAACTTAACTGTATCAATGTCATTTTTGAGAGGAAATTTACCCTGTAGGTTTTTGCTATCTTTAAGATGTGAATCAGTGATTTTCTTTCGGGGGAAATTTACCCTGTAAAGTCTTGCTAAATGGTCAATATTTCCTCTATATATTTATATTTCAGTTTGTTTGTGACACTAGATCGTGTTACCATTAGAACAATGCCGATGTTTCACAATATTATCAATAAATATCTTATAAAACTGTATATTTTGTTAGATTTTGTCAATACCTAAGGGCAAAATGCCAAAAACAGAAAAAAAAAAAGATTTTCTGTTTTGATTTTGGAATATATATATTTGGAGTTATATATATATATATATATATATATATATATATATATATATATATATATATATATATATATATATAAGGCAAACTTTTTAAAAAAAAATTTGGTTGCCCTCTCCCGACGACTAGCTAAAAATGGCCTGACTCGAAACTTTTTTATGCATTCCGGAAAATAGATTTTGAAATTTCAGAATTAATGTTGAAATTTTTTCGAAAAAAAATTTCACACCTACCTACCGACCCATTTTTTTCACCCTGAGTCGGGAGAGGGCAAACAAACATTAAAGTGGAGTGTTGGTCATGCCAGGTGCGTTACACCCAGCACCTGCAGACCTCAGCCACCAGGGTCCCCTTCTCCACCAAACGGGTCGCAACCCACGACTAGCAGGTTGCCCAATTTAGTCGCCTTTTACGACATGCAAGGGGGTGCCAGAGACCTATTTTTGTCACCCCAGATCTCCACGGGGGGTATGGAGTTTGATGAAAATATCTTGAATAGTTTCTTAAAAATTGAGTTTTATACACAATAAAAAGTCAAAGATCATTTGGAAGGTCAAGGTAAAGAAATAGACACAGTTTATGAAATTTCACCAAATCATGTATCAGTGCATAAGCTAGCACAGAAATATCTTGAATAGTTTCTTTAAATCGAGCTAAATGCAAATAGACGAAAAGTGAAGTCAAGGTCAAAAAAGGGCAAGGTCAAAAATTTTGTAGTAGTTCAATAGCACTCACCTAAATATATCAGCATAGGAAGTTTGAAAAAAAAATATCTTGATCTGCTTCTTTAAAACTGAGCAAAACATAAATGTCAGAAAAGTGAAGTCAAAGTCAAAGGAAAGGTCAGGGTGAAAAATGTTGAGGAGATTTTATCAATATTTATATGAGGTTTGATAAAAATATCTTGAATAGTTTTTTGGTACTTGGCTAAACATAAATTTAAGAAAAGTGAGATCAAGGTCAAAGGAGAGGACAAGGTAAAAAAAAAATTGATGCAATATGATAAGAGCTATTCAACTGCGTTAACAGTTATTGAATTTGAGCTTTTCTTTGACCTTGTCCCCCACTTTCTTATATATTTTGCGCTTAGTTAATTTTCAAAGAAACTATTCAAGACATTTTTATCAAACTTCATATGCTGATAGATATTAATAAGAGCTATTCAACTGCATCAACACTTTTTGACCTTGACCTTTCCTTTGGCCTTGACCTCACTTTTCTTTAATTAGTGTTCGGCTCAGTTTTAAAGAAACCATCCAAGAAAGTGTAATCAAACTTCATATGCTGATACATACTGATGTAAGTTATTCATTTGCATTAACATTTTTTAACCTTTCCTTTGACCTTGACCCCACTTTTCTTAAATTAGTGTTTAGCTCAGTTTTAAATAAACCATTCAGAATATTTTTTATTATACTTCATACGCTGATACATACAGATGAGAGCGATCAATTGCATCAACATTTTTTGACCTTGACTTTTCCTTTGACCTTGACCTCACTTTTCTTAACTTAGTGTTTAGCTCAGTTATAAATATGCCATTCAGGATAGTGTTATCAAACTACATATGCTGATACATAAAGTAAGCTATTCAACTGCATTAACATTTTAGGGAGAGGGCATAATAAGTTTTCAGAACTTGTGCCCAATCCCATTGTATTTATAAATTACAATAAAATATGTTCAAACCAACATTTTTGTCCTTGACTTTTCCTTTGACCTTGACTTCACTTTTCTTAAATTTGTGTTTAGCTCAGTTTTATAGAAACCATTCATGACATTTTTTTTAATCAAACTTCATATGCTTATACATACTGATGTAAGCTTTTCAACTGCATCAACATTTTTTGACCTCAATCTTTTCTTTGACATTGACCTCACTTTTAAAAAAAATTGTGTTTAGTTCAGTTTTAAATAAAGATATTTTATCAAACTTAATATGCTGATATGTATTAGTGAGAGCTATTCAACTGCATCAAAATCTTTCGACCTTACACTTTCCTGTGACCTTGACCTCACTTTTCTTTAATTTGCATTTTGCTAAGTTATAAAGAAATCATTGAAGATATTTTTTGTAAGCTTATGCACTTTTACATAATTTGGTGAGAATTTATCATCTATATCCAATTTTTTATATTTCAATTTTAAAGAAAGTAGTCAAGATATTTTCGTCAAACTTCAAACACTAATACAAATTTTCATGTTGCATTAATATACATTCGGCGGGGCATTCATGTCCTATGCACATATTTCTATTTTAAGCATACAGTTTATTTTAGAAGTCTTCATTCTTGTATCTAGCGTTTTGATTGATTGCAACCAGACCATCTAAGTTTTATGATAACTTTGTAGCTTTAAAATTAATTTTGATTCATAGCGTTGCTATTACATGCAACGCACTATAGTCATTTCATTGTTTCATCCCCATCGCTTTCGCAAAAGCAAAGGAACATTAAATCTCATACATCTGTCAGTCTGTCATAAAAACTTTAACCTTGGTCATAACTTTTGAATGAGTAAGGATAAGGCTTTCATATTTCACGTGTACGTTACCTTGTCAAGACCTTTCCATGTATACTTTGATGTTCGACCCTGTGACCTTGAATTTTGACCTTTTCAAAAATTTTAAGATTACGCTTATTTGGTCATAACTTTTGAATGAGAAGAAATAAGGCTTTCATATTGCACATGAACATTAACTGTGACAACATCTTGCCAAATTTATTATGATTTCTACCTCTGACCTTGACCTTTGACTTAGTTTTCAAAAAATTTAAACATTGGTTATAACTTTTGAAATAAGGTACGGCGTTCGTATCTGTGTGAAGTTACCGAACATGTTACGACTTTTTAATTATAGAACTTACCTTATTTTCAAAAAAAAAAAAAAAAAAAAAAAAAAAAAAAAATTACCGATAACTTCTGAATGACAGAAAATGTAACGTTCAAATTTCTTGAGTGCATTATTTGTGGCAAGAAGTTTCCGAATGTGTTATATCTGACCCATTGACCTTGAGGATTGACCTAATTTTCAAAAATTTTTATCATTGCTGGTAACTTTTGAAGGAGAGAAGATAGGGCATTCATAATCAACATGTGCATTACCTGTGACAAAATCTTTCCAAATATACTGTGTCATGATTTTTAATCCATTACCTTGACGTTTGGCCTAATTTTCAAAATCTTTAACATTCCTGTTAACTTTTGAATGAGAAGACATGGCATTTATATTTGACATGTGCATTACCTGTTTCAAGTCCTTTCCGAATGGACTCTGGTTTTGATCTTGTCACCATGACCTTTAAAGTTTAACCCACAGTCTTTTTTCATTTTTTTTTTAAATTAGTAATAACTTCTGAATGGTAAAAGATTTGGGCTTTCATATTTTACATATTCATTTCCCATGACAAAACCTCTCAGAAACACACATGTATATCATTTTTGACTTCATGACCTTGATCTATAAGTTAGACCTACTTTTTAAAAAATTTAACTTTGGTCATAACTTTTGATCCAGGAGAGAAATTTTTTCACACGTGCGTTATTTGTGACAAGACCTTTTCTGAATGTATTACTTAGTATGATATTTGACCTCACGAGTTTGATCTTAAAGTTAGATGCAGTTTTACTAAGCTTTAATCTTTGCCATAACTTTCAGTAATTCAATAATCGATATCTTTTTTACGCGATGGATAGTCAAGACACCACCAAGACAATTAAGCCATAATTAATTGCATCCCAACCACTGACACAGAAAACGTGGGACCACAATTCTTTGAATTCGCTCGTTTCCTTCTGCCAATGTCTCAGTTTAAATAGGACATAATCTTTCAAACTTATATTATTATTTATCAGTTCATATTTTCGTGAGTAAACTTACCTTCATTTACATGTACCTAGCAGTTAAAAAAAATAACAAAATTTTTTTAAACTCAGATATAGTTCAATAGAACTCGCTAGATAACATCAAATACAGTCATTGATTCAAAATATCTTAAAGGAAGGTTCAATACTTTATTGTATTGGAAATTTTGTTAATAGAAATACAGATATAATTAATCAGGCAATCATTTTTTTAATAGTGAGATAGAAGTCACTCACAAGCTTAAATACTAGTATCACACTATGCCACATAATACTACCGGGTAAATCTGTATATTGTATTCGAACACACAATTTGTTTTAAAAAACTATATCAGTGGATAGGCTACGTGGGGACAATATGAGCCTTTATAATCAAAGTATCATTTCTTATATAGGTAGAATTATCCAAAACACTAAGAGGAAGGAATTCCATATATCCAAAGCCTTTATGATTACGAGGGGTGGTTGGCCGTTGAAAAGCTGCCAAGGTGGGTTTGGCTACAAGAGTTTCCACGACATGCGAGCGTAATTCACAGGTAGGATTTTGATCAAGAACGCTCAACATGATCCGCCCACTAAAGGGCCACTCAAGAATATCGTCAAATTCTCCTTGCATAAAATGTACGAATATTGACAAGTGAGTTCCTCTGGCGGAGTCTACACCATTTAAATTAGCTCGAATACATATTTTATATCCAAAGCAATTAGAATAAAATGCCGGACTATGAATAGCTGTTACCTCCCCTAATTCAGCCTCGCTCCTGAACTTAGAGTAATTCTTAATCCTCCAAAAGTAAATTCCATTACAATTTCGTCCTTCGAATTCATTAATAGCGTTTTCTAAACTTCTAACCTTTTTAACCAACACTGCATTATTCTTTTCATATGCCTCTGCTGTATGTTTCATGTCCAACAACAACAATTCGTGTCTCGCTAAACTCTCATCTTGTGATATGTTCTGACATTTTAGCGACTGGAATTCATCATCAAAGGGGACTCGGGGAAAGCCCTCTAAATTATTAGAGGGATTTGAGGTATAAGTGAGCTCCGTGTCAATTTGTGTTCTTTCACTTCCAAACCTTTCCTCACTTCCCTGGGACAAAGCACGCAAGTTTCGGTTATTCACATCCGGAGCTCGAAAGCTGTCGAGAGAATGTGGTCCTGCCTGAGGTGTAGCGAATGCAGGGTTATCAGAAAGTTGTAGTAAGTTAACTGCACCGCTCAATCCGTTCCCAATGTCCTCTAACATTCTTCTGTCTATGCTGCTAATATTTTCCGTACGGTCGGGCAATGACTGACTCTGTGTTGCCTGGTTCAGCGACTGAATATTTAAACGTCTGTAGATCAGAGTCAGTGCTTGACACATTAGCTGCATATGCTGATGCAAGTTTTCCTGTAAATGCTTTCCCATTTCACTTCTAGGAATCTACAGACAAAAATATTTCGGCAAATTAATGTAAATATTTTGATTTTAACTCTTTTCTCTTTTTTCACGGAAGTACCAGTTACATTTTGGTCAACATTATATAGCGATTCAAAGTTTAATAATACTCACCTTTCCAATGTTACAACCTAGTTTTGAATATACACAGTCTATAGATTTTCGCATACAATCGTGGTCAAAATGACGTTGAAGCTGTAAATTAGTTAAACCAATTAAAATAAATGACTTTATAATATTTTTGTGCATTTCACAACCATAATTGAAAACATGTACAAGTAGTTTCATACACACACACACAGTGACACACACACAAAAGGATTTAAAAAATTTAAAAAAATGAAAAGAAACATTTCTGCTTTATTAAAATGTCAAAAGAATGCTAGTTTTGACTTTTAATTTAAAAAAATCCTACATACCTGTTCTCTCATTAATTCCGTAGCACAATATGGACATTTGACCATTGCAAGGGGACATAACTCATCCATGTGTTCCTAGAAGAAGAAAAATATGAAAACTTCACAACGGAAAATCTCATTTCTTTATGTCATTAGGAGACATTTACATGTAATAACCCATATATTACATTATTTTCGCACATTATTTATACTTATGACGACGACTTGGAAGTAGCCCGAGTGTGTATGTGTATGTTGTGTAAAAACTATTACAATAAACACTGTATTTTTTTTTAAATTACTTTTTGATAAATATTTATTTCATTAAGAGTGTAAATACATTGAATTTCCCTATAATTCCCTATAAATTTGTGCAACAGAAACTCAAGAAGGCCACTTTAACAAAGAAAACAAAAACAAAAAAGAAAAAAAAAAATCAGATCATTGAAGATATGAATCCTGGAACAATATTACATTACCTGAATAACTTCCGCTAATACTTCGGATTTACACTGTTTACAAAGAATGGTTCTTTTATGACAGATATGCGACAAATGTTCTTGAATGTCTTTACGCAGAAGAATGTGGCTGCATTTGTTTGGACAAGGTATGGGAACATATTCACATTCATCAAGATGTTTCTGCAATATAACCAGCGTATAGTTTGTAAATTTTGATGTAAACTCTGAATAGTTCTATTTTTAGTTCACGTGAGCTGAAGGCTCAAGTGAGCTTTTCTGATCACATTTTGTCTGGCGTCCGTCTGTAAACATGGTAAACTTTTCACATTTTCAACTTCTCCAGAACAATTGCGCCAGTTTCAACCAACTTGCCAAAAGCATCCTTGGGTGAAGGAGATTCAAGTTTTTTTTCAAATGAAGGGCCATGCCCTCCTTCGAGGGGAGATAATTAAGAATTTGTGAAAATTTTGTGGCATCTTTTAAAAATATTCTTAAAAACAAATCCATGATTACTCATATTGATATGGAAGCATTCTCGGGTAGTGTGGATTCAAATCTGTTCAAATCCTGACCCCTTAGGTAAGGTGGGCAAGAATTGGGCATCAAAGTTTTACATAGAAATATATGGGACAAAATCTTAAAAAATCTTCTCAAGAACAGCAAAACCATGATCTGTCATACAGATGGAAGCATACTCTGGTAGACATGTTGATTTAAGCTTGTTCAAATCATGACCCCAAGGGGTAGGGTGGGACCACATCTTTAAATATCTTCTCAAGAAAGGCAAAGCAATGATTAGTCATATACATGTAGATATGGAATCATCCTCATGTAGTGTAGCTTCAAGTTTGTTCAAATCATGACCCCCGGGGATAGGGTGGAGTCACAATATGGAATGAAAGTTTTACTTAGGAATATACAGAAGAAAAAATCTGCTGATGAAGAACAGCAAGGCTTTTTTGACTCAGCTGAGCGCTTTGGCCCATGGGCCTCTTGTTATAATAACAATGGTATCACAACATCTTTCATTAAAATTTAAATAGTAAAACAACACCTTTCATTGATTTGAAGTTAAAATTTAACAAACAGGATGCTGTCTATTGATAGTGTCTACAATCTGTCATGTTTCCCTCAATTGAGACAAAAAATGGGCTGTGGTTTCAAATTAAGATTATTTTTATAAACATGACAACACTGCTCATCTAAATTTAAAATCAATGAATGGAATTATATATTGTGATTTAATCTTTATATGTGTCATGTTTCATTCAAAATCTTCATAATTAACTTGAAGTACTGTATCCGGTAGTTTAAATATTATTTTGAAATCAGATGAAAACTAGGAGGAATATTTTTAGAAATTGTCCATATACAAATGAACAATAAACAGTTTTACTTTTGCATCTGTCTGGTCTTTCATGTACAGAGTTAATAAAATATGTTTACACATTAAACAAAACCTTCTAAGAAACATATTAAATAACTTAATCAACTAACCCATTATAAATTATCCTATTTTGAATGAACAATTGATTTAAAAATGCTCTTCCTGTCTGACTATACTGATTAAGCATCTAATACCTGTACATTTTTTAAAGTCTCTATCACTTGACAACCTTCTTTACTATTGGGACATTTGACACTAAGACCTAGGATTTCCCGCTTGGCGAAGTTGTCTGGAAACAGCTGAGACTCTGTTATTGGCATGTTATCAATTGGGCATCTTTGATCCGATTCCCTGAAAAAAACGCACAAAGAAAATTTTCTACAAAAGAAAGTTAACGCTCCATAGTATTTTTATGTTATAATTTTTTTATATGTTTTAACTATGTAGTTTCGTTGCTTTTAAAATGCAACTTACTGAATAAAACGCATTATCACTGATGCATGTACATGTATTATCAGATTTTATGAGACGCTCCACTGAATAATTTTAAAATATTTCATTTAATGTTATCTAGTATGTTAGCATATTTTTACAACAAAAAAGAATGAATGGGAGACTTCCTGATATTTAAAACATTCAAATTTGTATATGGGTTAGAATTTTAAACAAAGGTTTCAAAGATCGGCTATCAGTAATTTCTAAGCCCTTTTCGAAAGATCTCTTTATATTTTCCCCCTATTTTTAGACTCGAGTCAAACAATCTGCAGTACACCTGGTCACCTGCATTCTTCTAATTTTACTTCCTCATGCCGGGTATCCAATCAAATTTATAAAGGAACAGATTTTTATAAATATAAATTTGTCAACTAAATGTAAATAATTCTCTTTTCCTTATTTCCAGGGACATTCAAAAACTGTGTAGTCAATAGATTTGTAAATTTTTGTGAGGAAATATACGGTTTCCGATAGCACTTCGAATTTTTGACATATATTTGATTCACTGCACGTTCCAATATATACATATCTTCATTGTAAACATAAAGCATCTCAAATATGAATGAACGAGTCCTTGCTAAAATATCTTAGTCAATATAAACATTTTCTTTTGCCCTTGCAGCACGAGCTGCATATCGATCGTGTGCAATGTAAATGTTGTCCAACTTACAATGTGCTTTGCACAATCTCAAGAAAAATAATTTTCAGATAGTAATTAAAGACAATTTCGATGATGCAAATCTTTATAATAAAAAGTTACTTACTTCAGCCACTTGTGAATGCAATTCTTGCAGAACCGATGCCCACAAGTTGTTTGCTGCGGCTCTCGTAGGACAAGGAGACAAATGGGACAGTCGTATTTTTCGTCCCTGATGATGAACTCGTAGTCATATCCCTCCTCCCGTCCGGAGAGCCCCTCCCCAGAGGTAAAGCTTCCGGAACTGACAGGTGACGAGTGGCGCGGCTCGTTGGTATAGTCATATAGACCAGACGACATCGGTCGATCTGATGTCATATCCGGTACTACGTAGAATTTACAATCCTCTCCGCAACCCTTCTCTGAAAATGTTTCATCACATCCATTTCTATGAACTGGAAACATAAATATTAAGCACGTTAGAGTGTTAGTGCGGTGTGTACAGACTGCTGGGCTTATAGAACCGGAACTATTTAAATCGTAATTTTAAAAAAAATGAGGAAGTGTCGAATAAAATTTTGCTGATGTAAAAAGGTCAAAAATCAGATAGCCATGTAAGAAACGCAAAAGGGTAACGTTCGGCAGACATGAAAGATAAATATGTATGAATTCCTTTTAAGTAAATATTGAAAAAAAATATCATGAACTTTTCTAGTGTATAGGATTTCACGTGCGTGCACCTTTTCAAGCGTAGAATTCAGATTTTGGATCAATAAAGTGAAGAAAAAAATGTTTAAGGTTAATCTTTTCAAATACTGATACTAGCATGGTATGCACATTACTGAATGCAGACAAATCGATGGGAATCTTGTATAGGATACTGTCATTCATTATGCTTAGAAATGGAAACAACCTGTCTTCCTAAAATAATGCCGCATTTTGGGCTCCAGTATAGTTAAATCTCATTTTTAACAAATTTTAAAAAAATTACCTAAGCCATTTTGTGTGTATGTGCACTTTTGAAATCTAATGTTTATTTATTTATTTATTCATTTATTAAAATGTACAGATGTATAATTGTTTTTATTATTATTTGGATTTTATCGACAATAGAACTCGGATTATGATAACACAAAAACTTGATCTGCATTATACTTTAAATAAATAAAACACATGAATGAAACTACTTTAAATCAAAATAGGTGAAACGTTTGATAACCATGCTTTCAGTATTGATAAAATGTTGATATGCCAAATCCAGGAAGTGAGAAAACCAGCCAATAGAAAAAAAAGGCTCAGGAGAATTCAGACCAGGACAAGGAAGCGGCGGCCCTTCAACGATGATAAAGTGTGATGGGTCTATAGATAGCTTGATGTAACAATTCACCCTTAATCTTGGTTGTATCTGTTAATAATAAGATTATCTACCTCTTTGCTTTTTGTGTGGCGTAACACCGAATATATGCAGGCACTCGATCAATAAATTAGTTTTCTCGACACTTAATCTATATTAGGACATGCAGGTATTTTGTGCAGAGGCGAAATTAATGGTTTATAAATTAGCAACAAATAGGAAGATAATATAAATACACTTAGAATTTCAGTATGCTATCCGGATTTAAACACAGATGTCCATGACAGATATGCAGATCTGATGAAGAAATTATTCGAAGTGCAGTCCCTGACTTTAAGAGACAAGTTTAACCCCCCCCCCCCCCCACATACACACCTTGGTAGCAATAATACAAAGATTAAGCACATTAGTACTGATGTACATACATGTAAATATGACGTATCTGTTAGGCTAAAACAAATCAATGAAAATAAACAAAAGGCCCCTGGGCCGCAACACTCACCTGAAGTACTGTGTTCCTTCTGCTCTTTATTAGCAGATTTTCCCTATGTAAAATAAAGATAATATATCAATTTATAGACCCTCCTTACCCCAATGCATCATGATTTGAACAAACTTCAATCTACACTACCTGAGTAAGCTTCCTTATAAATATGACTAATCATGACTTTGCTGTTGCTGAGAAGAATTTTAAAGATTTTTTTCTGTGTACATGTACATGCATTCCTTTGTTAAAAAAAAAAAAAAAAAAAAAAAAAAAAAAAAAAGATGGGCGAACAAGGAGAGCGCAATGCCTATAGTGCAACAAACGTGAAGGTGAAAAATTAAATTTCAATTATAACAAAATTTTCTCTTGATATTTCATCTAAAATTTAAGTATACTTTTTGTAAAATTTCCATAATTTGCAAAAATCTCACAAGAATTGAAAGTATTTACCTATGAAATAGCATACACACACTAGAGAAGGCAAAAAGGATCATTTTCTCATACTAAAACACAATTTTTTGATATGAGTGGGTCTTCGCTCCATATTTTCAAAGTTTATCCCCAAAGTTTGCGTAAAAATATACATTTTTTGGTCGGCAAAAACAATGAGTAAAGACCCACTATACCTTAAAAATACACTTTTATGACAACATTCTCATCTTTCCGAGAAATACTTGAAGTCCGTGTAGTCAAGGATCCTATGATTTAATGCCGCAATTCATCAAGAGCTGTAGCGTAGTGGTTAGCGTGTTAGACTCGAAGGTAAATGATACTCAGGATTTTTATTGCTAGGGTTTGAACCCCACGTTATTTTTTTTAATAACAGAATAATTTTTGCCGACAAAATTTTCCGCAGAAAAGTTTTGTTTGTCATAATTTCCTAAATATCAATAATGAGAACTTTACTCTAAATACTAAATTCACAAATTGATTATAATTTTATATATCTGAAGCTAGAGACATTCTGCGCGCCTTGTTCACCGATCTCCTTTGATCGCCCATTGTGGCCCACCCCATCCCGGGGGTCATGTTTGAACAAACTTGAATCTACACTACCTGAGTATGCTTCTCTATAGGTATGACTAACCATGTCTTTGCTGTTCTTGAGAAAAAAAGAATTTTAACGATTTTTTCCTATGTACAACTTTGATCGCCCAAATTCGCCCCACCCTACCTCCAGGGGTCATGATTTGAACAAAATTGAAGCTTCTCTACCTCAGAAAACTCCAACTTACGTTTCATCTTTTCTGATTCTTGAGAAGATTATTGAACGACCCCATCAGATTTTCTCCTTTTTCTTAATTATCTCCCCATGGAAGAGGGTGTAGTTCTTCATTTGAACAAACTTGAATCCCATTTACTCAAGGATACGCTGTGTCAAGCTTGGTTGAAATTGACCCAGTGCTTCTGGAGAAGAAAATGAAATGTGAAAAGTTTACTACAACGACACCACCGACGACAACGACAGACAAATTTCGGTCAGAAAAGCTCACAAGAGCCTTCGTCTCAGGTGAGCTAAAAATGATAATCGAAAAACTAATGGATACGTCAACCAAAAATTACGAATAGAAATAAAAATGTACTTGATGTATAATGATGCGTCTGTAAATTTAATCACTGAGAATTAATGATGCACATTAAATTGCGTAATACATACAATATGCATGTTTATAACAGTAGTAAACCCGTCATGCTACAACAGCACCTATATTAAACAAGATGAAAATTAAACTATTTTAAACAAAATCCTCGAAAAATCATAATGCGGACCTTTAGGAGTGACGTGACTCTGTATTTTTTTTTTTTTACTGAGAGAGAAAAATGATAATCAAAATAATGTAAAATGTACAAAATGTAGATCAATCACTGAAAAATTACATCATTTACTAAACACTTTCTAGTAAATATCTTGACATTAGCTTTTCATTGGTCGATTGATAGGAGAAATGTATATTAAAATAAGTGTTCAGTTATGGTGACCGAAAATTTTCACCCTTGCATATTTCAGCTGATCAGTATTTCTTGTTATATCAAATGGTTACCTCAAAATAGCCTTAAATCTTTTTCCTTGTATAAATTTTCAAACAATCGATACATATATTATTATTGTTATTCATTTATTATTTTGAATTAAGAGAATGGTGTATTGAATTTCAAATTTAACATTGTTGTTCACGTGAACTTTCGCAATCTTGTTAAAAAATTATTTGTTACACTAAAAATTCTGCAAAGCCGAGAATAAAATTTTTTGATGTTATTTAATTGGTTTAGATATTAGAGAAGTAATACAATACATGAAGTCATATGTTCGGCCTTCGAAATCAAGATCTCTGACATATTTCAAGGAAATGCGTGTACAGAATCGACTTTTTAGTACCATTGTCACATTGACAAAGAAAGACAACTCTTTGTGCTGCATCTATAATCGATTTGGTGAATGTGTGTAAAGCTGAAACGGACAAATGTAGATGTTAAATTATGTTTGTTTGTTTGTTTTTATTATTTTTAAAAACACAAATTAAGAAACTATAATTTTTCTTGCAAAAATTGCAACGACTGATATATGTTTAAAAGTATATAAACAGAGTTACATGTACATGATAAAAGAGTTACACCTATATAACATACAAGAGTATATTTGACGTGTTGAAATTATGAGCAACTTACATTTGGAACTCTGCATATTTTCATTAAATTCTATTAAATACACTACATAATGTCTTCATCGTCGCATGCCACAAGTTTATTGTGTCCATCCTATTTCAACAAATTTGTGGAAACAGAATCCGTGGTTTGCGACGATATCACTGGATATGTCTCATATATGATTTTTAACGCATATGTAACATAAATTCAGCGTAAGTTTCAAACGTATGACGATCTATATGTTTAAAATACGTGGTAAACACACTGTTACGTTAACCATGTTAGCTTTCGGAAGACATATAATTTTTTTTCTCAGTTATTCCCCTTTAGGCGCCATGTTGAACATGTTGAAGGTCAACCTGGTGAATTTTCTTCTTTAATCATGTGTAGTAGAAAATATAGGAAGAATTCTTTGCAATATGAAAAATGTTAATTTGGATAGCTTTCATAAACGTGTATTATTCAGGGGAGAACAATGTTTTTAACACCTCGGTGGTCAGTATGACAAAATACTGAAGGAATCTGAGCATGTTGACCTCCAATATGGGGCAAACGGGAAATCACTCTTGCAAAATTTACCTATCAAAAACTCTCTGCTCATTTATATGGTTTACAGGTTGCAAGTTTACCTAATAAGGATTTAAGAGAAACAATAATTAACCATGAATCAAATTTTCAATACTTGAAAATCTAATTCTAAGCATATTGTTGTCGGTCGCGGGAGCGGCCGATCTTTGTGGTTTAGTTAGGGGGAAATGAGACGTTATATTTTCATTGATTCGAAGGAATAATTCCTTATTGATAACAAACCTTAAAGTTATGAATGAAAATTTTAAATTTGATGAATACTTAAGTCTAAATGGTTGTTATTACATTTCAAAGTTTTTCTTCTTTTCTCATCAGATGTTTTTTTTATGATTTCATAAACTGTAAAAAAAAAGTTGTTATATGAACTGCTCCCCAAAATGGGAGTGCGTAAGATAAAAACCCAAAACATAATGAGTTTCCAGATAATAATTACATTGCCAAAAATGATTAACATTAAAAATTTTAGAAGTATATTTTGTTTTAATACACTACAGTTGGAAATGATGCATGCATATTTTTTTCTGTACATTTACTTTGATATCTATCCAGAGTACAAGCGCGTGGAAAGTTTGTACGTCCTTTTTGTCGGAAGTCATTGATACATTCATAATTCTTGTGTACACACAGGTCACGGTCATCCTTACACCGCGACTGTATAAAAACCACTGACTTCTCCATTTCTTGTCTATAAACATATCCCCCCCATGTGAAACAACAAAAGTTTAAAAGTTTTGGTAAGAATTTGTGAAATAGCAATTTATAAAATCTATAAAAAGAAATCTTTCTTCGGGGGGGGGGGGGGGGGGGGCTGGGGGGGGGGAGGGAGAGGAAGATGTTTTAAAAATCTTTTCCGTTGATTTCTATAGACTAAGTGAAAACAAAATTTTAGAGTTATCTCTCTTTGTTTTCCCAAATAAGTTGTTTTATGAAAATTCACTTGAAATGTATGGAGATAACGAACAGTATTCAAGTATTCAAAAGTCCAGTAAACAATACAAATTTCGGAGCAGAGCAAACACGGACCTCTAAAACATCAGAGATGGGATCAGGTGCCATGGAGGAGTGAGCATCCCCTGCCGACCGGTCACACCCGCCGTGTGCTCCTTGTCATGATCGGGAAATATCTATATAAATATGAAAAATCATTCAAATATGTTAACTTTTAAAATTTGACTTTGAGGTAGGCGGCAGAACAATTATACTATCATTCGCAGTTCCTTTACTTAAACAATTGGATATTGAAAGGTTATTCAAAGGTTATTTTTCGACAAGCTTTACTCGTACAAGTCAATATTTTAATAATACATATACGAAATACTATCTTTTCATTCAACCACAACCGCATGGGAGCAGATAGTACAATTTGGCCATGGTATGCAGCAATAATATTGAAAGTGTAAAACTACAACATATTTCATTACTGATCATGCTACCCTATTATCTGATGAAAATTCTTTACAATTATATGTCACATGTATGTGTTGAACATTGACATCTAGAAAAATCGTAAAGTTGTTCAAATTAAAAATTTGCTATATAAATACATGAGCCTAAGAAACCCTGCAATGCATGCTCCTATGTATGCATCTGGCAGAAATACACAATTCTGGCCAAAGATTTTTTAAATTAAATTTTCTAGATGTCAAATATTTTGCACAACAAAAAATGTAATAACTGACCTTTTTAATCCTATTTAATGAAGATTTCATAATGAAAAAAGGGTGAAGATAATGGATTCTAATCAATGCAAATAAGGTCATTAAAACGACCATAGAATTTGCAAAATGCTGACTCATAGGAGATTGTAGAAAGCCCTGTAACGTGAACTTATTTTTTCAGTATACTGCCTCAATTTAACATACTCAAATAATATGAACCTGCAACACAGTACACTCATACACATCAAGGGGTACAGAAGCAGAACAGTGTCTCAGTCTTTATGCCCAACTATAAATGCAAATATGAAGGAACAGGCAAAAGTTTAAAAAAAAAAATGCCTGTATGCACCATGGCTTTCTAAGTACTGCCAAGAAAGTGACTGAAAATGGTATACATTGCCAAGGTAAAAGTGATATACTGGCAGACAGATTTTAAGCTAAAATCTTGAAATAAGCTACAGATCAGTGGAGTCTAAAGCACAGTAATGGTGAGGTTTAAACTAACCTTAAAATATTGCTGGTGGTATTATAAATCACAGAAAAATTTCAACCATTCTGAAATTAAAAAATACATATGAATCAATTGCATGGTACAATATGTAGAGCTGGATGATACAACTTTTTCTATATCGATATGCATATGACATTTGAGCCAGATACAATATGTATCACAATATTTTGAATTGGTTACAAAATCTTGTTTGTATTAATTGAAATGAATAAAACATTTCTTCATGAATAATTTATTCATAGAAGCTGTATACATGTATCTGTTGTAAAAGTAGTGTTAATTATTATGTATTTCATATTTATATTTAGCATATTTATTTTGTATGTTATTACACCCAAAATGTTAAGGACAGATGATACAAACAATTTTTTTCTTTGGAGGAGACTTAATATCATCTCACAGCATTAGAAAAGTGGATAATTCTTTGAATGTTTCTCCTTAGATTTGGAGAATGAAATACCTTCCATATTTCCCTCAAAAAGTACACAACCAGAGTAATCATGGTAAAATTGTTTAATCTTCATTCATTTACCCTCTTTTTTTCTTCAAAAATGTTTCTAAAGGAGCACAGAGTGAACTGATATTACATTTACTCAAGAACCTGTTGTATTTTCTTGCATAAAAGAAATGACATCCAAAAATATTAGTTGATACTTCAATAAAATTACAAATAAGGACAAATCCCATTCAGCAAAAGTTTACAGATGAAAATAAATTTTAGAATATGTTAGCTTGGTGCTAAAAGTGTAATATAAACTTTAGAAAAATATACCAAGCCAGGTGATTTTTATGAGGAAAAGCAAAATGGTAAAAATCAGCACATAGCACATAGGCTAATTTTTACCATTTTGCTTTTCCTCATAAAATTCACCTGGCTTGGTATTTTTCTAAAGTTTATATTTCACTTTTAGCACCAAGCTAACATATTCTGAAATTTATTTTCATCTGTAAACCTTTACTGAGTGTGATTTGTCCATACTTGTAATTTTATTGAAGTATCAACTAAAATTTTCCAAGTGTCATTTCTTTTACGAAGAAAAAAAAGAGGGTAAATGAATGATTTTTAAACAATTTTACCATGATTACTCTAGTTGTGTACTTTTTGGGGGAAATATGGAAGGTATTTCATTCTCCGAGTCTAAGGAGAAATATTCAAAGAATTATCCACTTTTCTAAAACTGTGACATGATATTAAGTCTCCTCCAAATAAAAAAATAGTTTGTATCATCTGTCCTTAAGTAGAAACAAAGAAAAAATAAATTGGATTTTTTTTTTTTTTTTAGATATTTCGATGTTTCTACATACATATCAATATGCGTTTGTCCTCACATAGAATCAATATCATTGATTTATCAATATATCATCCCCAGCCCCAATGATATACCAGTGCACAAAATGTCAGTTTCCATCTTCTTCAATCTTGTGAACATCAAAGTGTATATGAACATCATAATCAATGGAAATTTTAGCATATTTTTGCACAAGCATATTTGCTTCAAACAACATCTAGTATGTAGTACAAATTTATATTTTATACCTTGTTACTAACAGGAAGACTGAGTTCATTCATAATTTCAGGATTATAAATATGATAAAAGATGATAAAGATTTTTTTTCTGTGCATGCAATTACTGCTTTACAAGGTTTTATGCCTGTTTCAAGCTTGTAAGCTCAACATTTATCTTGCTTGGTAAATTTTAATCTATATTTAAGGCCCTGATTGATGTAATGAAGTTACTCCAATTTATACTCATAAAAAACATGCAAAATGAATTGGAGTGAGTCTCTTGCATTCTTAATTATTCCTATATAGAATACCTTTACTTACCAAAGAAGTATGAGGGTTGATCCATCTGGGGTATAATTTCAGATCCTTGTCACTTAAAACTTCTTTTTAAAATCTTTTTAAAATTTCTGAAAATAAATTGAACATCCTATAAAACACTGAAATATGCTTTAATTGAAGTGAAATAACATGCCACAATGAAAATATGTAATTAGCATATACAGAAGAAGGCCATGGATCAACTGTCACATTTGTAGTAACTTGTTCCTGTGTTATTCCCGTCAAAAAAAGTCCACCTTTATCAAGTTTACATAACATACAATTGTAAAAGCTTCTCATGTTGTTCATATAGATCTGTAACAAACTTATTCGTGACTATTAAGTTAGATGATTCCAATGATCAAAATTTGTTTTAAAAACTCATGGATGTTAACATGTAATTGGGTTGTATAAAAATATTATACTTAAAAAAAATTTAATTTGATCATTGTTGATGCTGTACTCAAAGACCTTGGTCATATGAGGTTCCTGATGGTAATAACTCATTTTCTTATATTCATGATGGCAATATCCCAGATATCATAACCTAGGAAAAAGATGAAAAAACTACAGCCTTTTGAGAGTCTTTTGCTAAAACATGCATTTGACTCTGAGATTTTGAGATCAAAGGTCAAGGTAATATGAGAGTCAACATGGCACTTTGACTTTGTAACCTGATGATACATTCATGCTCAGATATCATTAGCCTTGGTTGAAAAACTAAAGATGAACATGTGATTGATATATACAAATGCCCTAAGAATAGAAAGGTCCGATGATAAACACACTGGGATTTTATACTTTTTCTGTCAGTGATCTTTAAATTTCCCAAATGACCTTGGTCATGGTTCAAAATTCTTACACAGCCTCAGCTCATGAGAAATCTTTTTGCCAAGAATGAACTCCAATGGGACTTCATTACAAGATGTTGCTGGGGCAGGAATTAAACATTTTTCCAAACGCGTGCCTTTCAATTTGCCAGTACCCAGTACTTTTACCCAGCTGAAATCATGATTGTACCAGCTAAAAATTTGATGAAGAAAAATTTGATAACACATTTAATTAAGATGATTAAAATCTCTTCAACAACATAACTCCTATGTTTGTAAAGGTACCACCTGTTCCTTTTTTTCCCTAAAGTCCTGCAAAAGTGACCTTGACCTTGCCAAAATTACATTGGTTTAAGGTCATGACACACCCTCTGGTCATAAGTAATCTTTTTGTGGAGTATCAACTTACTATATTTTTCCATTACATATTGTTAGAGAATCACTTATTTGTCTCAAAATTTAAAGAAGAATTATATATGATATTGAATGAGGGTAACATGAACTGTTACATGTATGTATAACCTTTGAACAATATGGGATATGAAATAAGGTGAGGCTATAAAAGCAAGGGAAAACTAAATACAGGTACAAACTAATAACAACCAAATATTCCCCAATTTGTTTCAATAAAGCATGCCCATCGGCCACAGAATTGTGCCCTCATCTTTTGCATTAATTAACAAAGGCTTAAATCATCATTTTCATCTTGAACTTTGTACCTATTCTTACTATCATGGACTTCAGTATGTTACAATCTAACGCATAACTTCAACTTATATATATATATATATATATATATATATATATATATATATATATATATATATATATATATATATATATATATATATATATATACAACATGTGTTAAGTGACTTAACATACTGCCATACTTGTTTACAAAATGGGATACATGTAATTATGTACCAAATTTAAAGCAGAATGAAATGGTCCAGTTCCTTGGAGAGTGTGCCTTCAGTCTGTTCTAAAGCAGTCAATCCAAATACTAATATCTTCTGTCTTGGTGTTCTAAAAAGTATTATTTACCGTTAAATATTACATAAATAAAATAAAAATATTAAGTTTATTTATAGTCATTTCTGATGGCCACAAATACAATCCAAGAGGTAAAAGTAAACCCATAAAAGAACTGGCAGTCACAGTTGAATGGAAACATCATGAATTTGTAAATGATAAGTATGTTCCTTGAACATATTGAAAAGCCACAAAACTATCATTCTTACCATTTACACATTGAAATAAAAGGGATGAAAATACACAACTTAAACAACACAAACCTGTTAGATGAAATCAGAGTCATGTGTTTCTTTACCTGGGAACAAGAATTTTTCACTTCCTTTTCAAATTTTTGAAAAATAGAAGACAATCATAATATGTTTCAGATATCTCTTGTTAATTGAGTTTCTGTTGGAAAGAAGCTTAATAAATTTGAGCTAACCAATACAAGTGTTTTCTGGGGATGGAGCAGATATAAAAATGTATATACATAAAAGCTATAAATAGATGTATCCAATGGTAATATAACTTTTCACAAAACATCATTGTCTTAAAAATAACAAGGGAGATCAATGTTATGCTTTTAAATAAGATTTAAAAGGGGCTGTGATGTCATGGACGTTTATACTAACAAGAAATTATCCAATGGTGTGAAAATGATGAATAAGTGTGCCATTTGTCAATAAAAAAGTGGAAGGCCTATATCATATTAGATCCACCTACATTACACGTATAGGCCTATATCATCTAGAGCTACATGTTTGAGAGACGATTCGAAGAATGTACTTTAATAACAGCAAATAATAAGACTGGAAACTTCAAAATTAGTCTATGTTAAAATTTGTTGCATTGAATAACTTGAATCATCAAAAACAAAACATATCAATTTTGGTATTCCAGAATTTGGCAAGCGGATAAAGTGCAAATGCACGATTACACATAAGCACGCGTGGGTCGTTTTTTCGAATATACTAACATTTTATGAAAATTACCTTTATAATATATTATCCAATAGAAGTTTAGTCTTTTCTGCTAGTGAAAAAAATCAAGAAAAGTCTCGTTTAAGGAATTTGGAATACATAACTTCCCAGTTTTGATTTTTTTCTCTCTCTATCGAAAGAGGAAGTTCACTGAATGGTGGTATTTATAGAACCTATTGACAGCACAGTATAGAGCAATGAAATTATTAAAACAAATAAAGAGTAAAATTGTGTGCAAAGATTTTTCCTGCAGCTTCAAAGTGTGATTCTTTTTGGAATAAGAAATAAATATTCATTTCTCACTGAGCTTTATAGGTAATATATGATTGAAGTATTATAATGATTCCTACTTTTACCGCACTCTTAATTCCGGTTTCTTGTCTTGAGGGTTCATGTCAATATTCGATAAATGTTTCAAGCATTTTTCCTGGATTTTTCTTTTCTTTCAGCTTTGACATCATTTAAATCAAAATAAAACAGGTTTTCTTCTTTGACAAGCTTACTTAAAGTACTTAATGAAATGAAAACAAACAGGCGCAAATATTTTTTCAACATCATGAGCAAATTCATTAATTTTTTCCCATATTTTTTTCTCATATGAAAAAAATTAATTAATTGATATCGAGGAAAGACAGATATATAATTTATTATTTTATTCATTTTAAATGAGTAAGAAAAAAATCAGATACGCCAAAAAATTTCGGTCATAATAATTTCCCATTTGATATTGTTGACAAGCATTATGTAAATGGTCCCTTATGTTGAAAAAATTTAGGTGAATCCCCATAGTTGTCTGCCCATCCCACATTGGCATTCTTTCAAAAAGCCCAAAACGGTTTTTAGATTGTGTATTTTACTGGAGGATGTCATTACAGTAAGACTTTATGAAAAAAAATTCTGTAATACAACGCATGAACATTTATTTATATGTATGTGAATTAATAGATAAAAATGGTTTATTCTTTCTTTAAAATACGCACTAATTAAGTTGCTAGCGCAATATCTCTTGAAAATACGCAGAATTTATTTTGAATGACATGACATTTGTTTTTGAAGTTTGTTGCGAATAAAAAACAAAATAATTAATATTAGAATTTATGCGACAATAATAGTGTTAATGCTTGTAAATTCTATAATAGAAAAATAATTACATAAATAATAAAATAAATATATTTACTAAGATCGCCTGGCACAGCTGGAAATATGTAAGGAGGATGAACATATTCAAATAGAATGTCTTACTACACACGTTATGAGTATTTTATTCTTCAATGAATATTGTGATTAATTCACAAACTTTACGTCGAAGTATTTCCACACTGGCTTTCTCTTAAATAAAACATTTGTATCTGCTATGACAATCTTACATGTAGTTTATTCATAATTGTTAAAAATTAGGAATAATTTGATTTTAACGATTGTAAATAAATTATTAATGAAATAATAATGAATTACATAAGTTTACATACATAAGATATAGATATTGATTTTCTAATATCAGCGAGTAGTCCCTGTAGTCCCTGCTGATATGAAATTCATTAATTCTTTCATTTTCTGTCTGAAGAACATTTCATTTGGACAATGATTCAAGTTATTTTGGGGAAATGTTTTGGTTTTGTTTGATTTTGTTGTGTGTATTTTATTTTTTGTTTTTGCTTTGTTTTGCCTTTTTTTTCTTTTGTTATGTTTTGTCTTTTTTCCCCTCAGAAATTCAGCTGAACGAAACCTGACAACTTTTCGTGAAAAAATTGGCTTGATTCGCCATTCGTATACAAATTAATGGGTCGCAATATAACTTATATAATAAGTGTATAAATTTTTTCAATCAAACCACTTACAACCAAACGTATTATACTCACCCGTTCCTGAATTAAGTCTGGAAAGTCCCTTTTCCAGAATTTATATTTAGACTTGCGCTTTTCAAATAATCACGTGATCACATTATTGGTATCAAAATGGCCACTTCGGCACTTCCTAAAATTCTGCATTCATAAACTCTTATATAGCACTTTAAACTAAAAGTTCCAATTGAAAAAGGAAACATCTTAATGAAATTTGTGTAAAAAATCACACACAACGTCTTTTCAATCAGCTTGACGAGGAGGTACATTATGTTGTGAATTTGCAAAATATCTATCAAAATTATTATTAATGGTATGTCTTGAAAATTCAAATCTGAATAAGGAACGTAAAGAATGAAAGTATTTAATTAATAGAAACTGAAAAATGTAATTGAGTATTAAAAGCGGAATTAAATTACTGTTACCAGCTGTCGAATTTGAATTAAATTGGAAAGGTTGTTTGACATCTGCCATGCAAGGATGTACTGGAGCAACATGAATTGGTAAACATGACTAAGTATTTTCATGTCTGTACGCTGAAATAAAGGAAAAAACATACTTCGATTACAAAAGACTATTGCAGGTGCTTTACTTTTAAAAATTTATTTCGTCTTTTCTCGGCGTTTGTTTGTTTGTTTTATTCTACCAATTGGAAATGGTAATAATATCCTTTGGGAAAATTGCGTCGAAATAGAACAAATACTGAGAATTAATATTCTATCGTATCAACAAAAGACCTTTATTCTAAAATCAACAAATATTAATGTATGCGTTAAAGAATAAACAGGTATTATATACCAGAGGGAATTACAATGTCACAGTAGTCTGTTTCTTGGCAGTTGCACTGGGAATTTTTAGTCTCGAAATTAAATAAAAAAAAATCATCAAAGTTTACTGACACTGGGAATGCATGGCACATTTTGTGGGTATACAAGTTATATTCGGGGAAGTTACTGTACTTAACGCAAGATACAGACATACAGAGTCATGAATACTGCTATTTTCCATTTAGCGGACATAATGTATTAAACAAGAATTAGCTATTAAATGTAAAATGTAAAAATAAATTTATAATTAAATCTGGACCCCTCAAATATATATGTCAAGTGAATTTTTCGATTTCACGAGCAAACCTTAAATTATAACATTTCTTAGAAATGTGTTATAAAGTAAACTTATCAAAACTGCTTGTATTATGTATTTTTACTCTTGAGTGAAAACCATTAAAATTATACATGTACATTTGTATACAGCGGATAGTGGCTGCACAAATATTAGTTGATATCAACAGCAGCAATTTATTTGTTTATTTTTCAGTTTTGTATGTTTTTTTAAAAATATATTGTCTTTGCCACTTCTTAAATGAACCTAGTAGATACATTTTGCTCTGTGTTGTCCTGTCATGAATGTAGTTTTGGCCGATCTTTAATCGCAAGAACAACATTAAAATATCATGTTTAGACTTTTCTTCTGATTTGATACACTAATACATGTAAAAATACATTTTTGATTTTTGCAGCTTAACAGATCTGAGATCCTGAATCACATTTTCATTTTCCAAATTTGGGATTTTTCAAAAATGTTTAAGTATTGTTTAACAGTTGACAGCAATTAATGAAAATATGAAAATTCTATGTGTTTTAGGAATTTTTGGGGGTGGTTGGTGGGGAGTGGGGTGGGGTGACGATATTTAAGCATTGATTAAATATTAACAACCATGAAGAACCATGCAAATATGAAATTTTAGTTTCAAGATAAACTCTAGAAATAGAAAAGCTTTATCAAAGCACAGTTTTATTTGAAATTATTCAATAAATTTGTGATATGATAACCAGACCAGTGATCAGATAAAAAATGGATCCTCATACATGTGTTTTTCCTCCTGTTCACTTAATACAAACGGTGATTTTTAGAAGTCATTTTGTCAAGGGTTATTTTATACATTATTCTGTGAACTAAGCATCAAATTGATAATTTTTATTCGCAACTGCACTCTTAAGAAATACAACAAATGATTCTTTTCAAAATAATTTAATCAAGACTATATAAATACATTTGTAAGAATAGAATTTCCTAAGTTAGACATGTTAATCAAATAAAACATGTTAAACTATAAAGAAAGTTATCAAATTAAGAATAGATTTAAACTTGCTTTTCATGCATCTTGCAGATCAGAAATCGAACGGAAACAGCATTACAGTTTAATGTGTTCAATAAATGTTCAATGCAAGTATCTGAGTTTATGTTTCATTGAAAAACACAACTGGAAAAGTACTCAGTCCACAAGGTACATCGGGGTGGGGGGGTTGGGTTGGACCTTTGTCTTATTTTTTGGTACATTTTTTTTCTAATCCTGGATTTTGCCAGTCCTCGAGCATACAGCAACAAAAAGTGGGGGGGGGGGGGGGCAACCTGCATCAAAATGATAGTTGACTATAACAAAAGAAAAAAGCCCCCCCCCCCCCCGCGTGCTAAGAGCCTAAATGTGATACAACTACATGTATATACAAAGTTATCTTTCAGCTTTGTGTGTTACTGCATGTGTGTTCAGCATGCTCTGATGCAATGTTTACAAACTCGTGTGTGTGTGTGATTCAGGCCCGTAGGCACTATCAACCCAAAATTCCTAGACAAGCAGAAAAAGAAGAAAAAAAAAGGGCATCAGACGTTTTTATTGAGGGGGCACAAGCATATGGTAGCTATGTTTTCTATAGTAATGTATATATCGGCGAAATTATTGGGGCCCCCACCGTGTCCCCCCGGTTCCTACGGCCATGTGATTGTTTGAGTTTGGTGGCTGGGGTCATGCATCCTCCAAAAATATTTAACAAATTCTTCTTGCAAATCTTCCTTGCTCCCAGGTAATCTTTTTCCAAAAATCTAATTCGAACATTTTAATATAATTATTTTTTTTTTGTTTTTAGACATTCCATATTTACATTTTAATATTTCTGGGTTTTAAACTTTTAACCAGTCCTATATAGCATATACACCTTTAGCCGTAAACATATTTACATATTATACGTATGACTAAAATACATCTCATTCACTCTCTTCTTTGACCCAGGACGAAATCCATTTACAATTTTCTGCATTAGGGAGATATGCTTCGTTAAGGGAAACAGACTGAAAATTAGATGGCAGAGGCAATTATGATCCAAAGAAAGGTAATTAATTTTAGAATTTTTAGTAATTTTCCAAGTTGTTGAACTGCTGGTCAGAGCTCTTCATGATTTGTATTTTATAGCGTCTGCATGTACATTTATTTTTATTATTTTTTCCCTATAAGACATGTTTTCTATGGCATTCGAGGTATTCGTCTATTTAAGGCCATTTTTTGTATATATAGTAGCACCCATTCCACCCTACCCTCATCCAAATCATTTTTTTTTTCATCATAGTAATTATGATTTTAATAATTAATTATTCATTCTAGCTAATAATGAATAATTATTCAGTTAAATAAAAACTTTGACAAATATAGATACAAAGAAAATGAAACAGGTCATTAATTTGAAATTCATATTTTTTAGCCAGACTCATTGCTCGTATCTAGCAATAGCAGGCTTTTGTCATTTTTTCTAGCAATACAGTATAATACATGTAAGTCAATGGGATATTAATAGTAACGTCACCTGAGAAATAAATGATTTCTTAAACGTAAAAATATTTTTTGATAAATTAAAAAATTAAATAAACTTAAAAGACATAAATATTTAAATGAGAAACAAAAGAAATACAAATTACATTCATTCATTCTTCTTCTTCTTCTTTTTTTTCAAGTCGTTTTGTGTAATTAGCGTGATCAATGAACATGTTCGTGTGTTTAGGCTAACCATTCAAGATGGCAGCCTCCAAGCTGGAGGAAACTGACGACGAAGGAAACGAAACTTTGGGATTTGTTATTGATGAAGTCATCAATAACATTGGATCGTCGTGGGATCCAACAAACTCTGTTGATTGGGCAAAGGAAAAGGCTACGTCACAATGTTTAATGAGAATAAAAAGGTAGACAGTCGACTTTAATAATTCTAAACTGTATCTGTATATATCTATATACAATGTATGGTCCTGTAAAATATATAAAATTATGCAAATAAAATCTATAGATTATAGCTATATTGTTTGAGATGATTAGTTGAATTTTAAAGTTGTGTCCTCAATTTTTATAACAAATCTGCATATCATATGACAGGTCCAGCACAATCTCTTGATTTAGCTTTATAGCTTGAAATAGCTATATGGCTTTATTAAGCTATTCAAAAAAGCTTGATAAAGCTATTTATGTGCAGTTTTTCAGAAAAATGTTTTTTGCCAGAAAAAGACAAAAAGTCGGAAGTATTTGGCTATTCATATATGTACTATGAACTATCAAAACAACAACCAAAATCAAAGAAAGTTTTAACATTGCAGCATTTGAATACTTTTAAGTAAAAGATGTATTTCCATTGTTTGAGTAACTGTACACTACCTTGTGTGCGTTGAGGCGTGGATAAGTATGATTGCTTCTCATTGTACTGAATTATTACCAATCAATTATCTTGTTGACCATAATTGGCCTCCTTTATAATTTCATTGCAGAAGTAACTGTATCGATTGCTTTATAAAGCCCCAAAACTTTTAGAACTTTGAGTACAAAGTCTCTTAAGGAGACGCAATTTGATGAGTGATTTTTACGTGCATTATTTTCAGAAGAGTTCAAGGTTGAATATTATCACTGCACCAAGGTGCGACTTTTTGTGCATGCTGAGAAAATAACACATTTAAGAAAAAAGTGTGATAAAATAGCTAAATCAAACTATTCTGAATAGCTTAATAAAGCTATATAGCTAAATCAAGCTATATAGCTAAATCAAGAGGTAGTGCCTGACCTGTATGAGAGAAATGAGGCTTGAGAAATGTGAAACACTCATTACTCACTCTATACTATAGACTAAGTCTATAGATCATTAGATGCTTTGAACATTTCACATCCACAGTGTGTCAGTGCTTCACATTTCTTAAGCTTAATTTCTGATAAAGGTATGTCAGACTGTGAAACCTTAGGGCCAGCGCACTTTCGATTATGCCATGAATCATAATTGCTAAATCTGACAGTTCTGTTGCCCCTCTCAAGTGATAGATCCGCAGTTTCCTTTTGCATACTGCTAACATATTGAGGTCACAATTTTCAATAATCTTCTCTAGCTTGCATTTATTGCATCTAATAACGTCATCTTTTTCACTCAATTTTTATCTAGTAAAATATTTTATAGATAAAATTTTTCAAAAGTTTTACAACTTCCCATACCTTGTGATCCAGATTTCAAACTTCTTGGATAGTTTTTGGACAATTCCGACAGAAATGGAAAAACTTAAATTGATTTTAGTGACAGAAGAATGATGTCATTAACAAGTAATATACAAATACCAATATACAAATGGCATGTTTATTGAGGATGCTTACATTAGTTTTGTGGTAGAGATTCGAAAATTCTTTTTAGTAAATCTTTTCAAGTAAATTATGTAAGTCTTTGTCATGCTTAAGCCACATATTGTTATGATATTGCGTGTAAACAGGATAGGGATCGAGTCATTGCTTTTTCACATGGGTCCATCAAAATTTCTTTGAACAAATTAAATCTCAACTAACTTGTAATTATTAACAATACCTGGAAATAGACAACAATGAATTAAAATGATTCCACAGCAAGTACATGTACTAGAATAAAGATTGTTTTGAGTCAACTTGCCTTTCATAAAAATAAGAAATATGAAGGCCTGTCTCTTCTAGTGCACTAATTATTACCGAAGTTAATTTTTTGACAATTAAGTCATACTTCACGGTCATGAGGTCAAAAATCATAGTACATTGAGAAAGTTAATGCACATGTGAAATAGGAAACCCCTATCTTCTCTCATTCAAATTTAGTACCAAAGTTAATCTTTTTTAAAAGTAAATCAAACTTAAAGGTCAAAGTCATGAAGTTTAAAATCATGGTTCACTCAGAACATGTAACGCACAGGTGAAATATGAAAGCCTTATCTTCTCTTATTCTAAAGTTATTACATGCATCAAAGTTAATTTTTTTTGTAAAGATGGTAAAAATTTATCAAATTTCATACAAAAATATACCGAATGCACAATTTTATTTTAATAAATATATCATTAGCCACATTATTTGTTGTTTGAAGCTTCCTCATTTGACTGTTACCATAATATACCGGTATGTGTTTTGTTTATTTTTAGCAATTGATTCAATATCTCATGACCAAATCTCTGATTATGGTTGACTTAGCCATCAGAGAGATTTTGATATTCCTAGTTAAAATACATGTAAAGGTTGTCATATATCTTTGTTCTTTCAGAGACATCATGTCAATATACAATGAACCACCACCATGCATGTGTATAGTACCCCACAAAGAGGACATGACAGTGGTAAGCTTGCAGAATGCAGATACATTCACTACACATATACCAGAATTTATTTTTCAAATGGAAGTATACACAGTTACACAGGACCATTGACTTATCAGTTTAAGTCTTTACAAAAATATAATGAATTTAAAAAAAAAAAAAGAGTGTTGGGTTCTATTTTCTCATTCATACAAGGGATTGGACAGAATCACAGTTCTGTCAGAGCACAGGCACATATGGACAAGATTTTGCTTAAATTGGCTTCACATCTCAAAGGAATCCTACAAATTTTCCTCAATCATGTACTTCTGTTGTTTTCCAAAACACTGACTGTAATTGTGTTTGACGATAAATTGTGGGATGCTTATGAGATGATTATAAGCCAATTTAATAGCATGATAGAGACAAATATATAAAGAGACAATGTGAACCAGTATTTTAAGTTGAAAAAGAATAAGACATGTTTTTTTAACCCAGAGAGACTGGGGTACAATGTATACAAACTGGAGTGGCATACCTTTCAGTCAGGGATTTTTAATGGAAGGATTATTTTGAATGTTTTCCAGATTTATCCTATGGTGTACTTGATAAATAAGCTTAGTTAGTAAATATAATTTATGAAAAGTCAAGTACCTGTGTGTCAAACTGAAGAAAAAAAAAGGTGAAATGAATGACATGTAATGTCAAGTGATTAATCTTGATCCTTTCACTTTCATTTATAAGAATGAAATTTATTTTATTTGTATAAATCCAGATATGAGATAGCATATCAAAATAAAGATTAAGACTTGGACACTGGTCATTTCATTCTATAGTATTTCAACCAAAACATTGGACCGATAGACAGGAGTTACTTTACATCAGTCAGGTCTGACTGTCTAGAACATTAAAAAAGACTGATGGAAATATTTTTAAATTTCACAAACTTAAGTATGAATATTTATCTATGGTATTTATTAGTATTATTATTTGCTGAAAGAAATACTTGGTAATATTATTTAATCTAATGCTTTTTGGTTTTGCATTACCTGTACAAGTACAATGCATGTAATTACTACCCTCTAATCTCCATAATCATGATAAGGAGTTTTCTTGTTAGTTGAACAAGACTGATTTCATGTTAGGCCTAGATAAATAAATTGTGTGTTTCCGGTTACCCGACCTACCTGAAAATATATGAGCCAACCCTGAAAAATTTATTCGCCGATATTTTTCCAGAAGTAAACAGTTTCATTTTCACTATTAGAAATCCTAATCTTGACCACTTTGGTGTTTGAGAAAATGCATATCCTATACACATTAAAAACAAATGCCATTAGTAAGCCGCCTTTTGGGAAAAAGAAAGGAACTCTTTGTTTTTCTCATTTTGTTTATTGTCAAAGTTGAATTTTAACTAATAAAATGTTAAAATAAAATAAAATGTTTGGCCTACCTACCTACCTACCCTATTTTTTTTTCGGGTTGGAATAGGAAACACACTATTTATTTATCTTGGCCTTATTTGTCAGAACAGTTCAGAATGTTACTTGTCAGAACAATTCAGAATTTTAAAAACTACATTTCAGATCCATGCCTTGATAACAGGACCTTTTGATACGCCGTATGAGGGAGGATTTTTCTACTTCATTATCCGTTGTCCTCCGGATTATCCAATCCGACCCCCTCGAGTGAAACTCATGACGACAGGAGATAACCAAGTCCGATTTAATCCTAACCTATACAAAAATGGAAAAGTCTGTTTAAGCATACTTGGGTGTGTATTAAATTTGATATAACTGTACATTTTGATTACGTATAAATCTATGAAAAGAGCTTTGTAAAGCATTACAGTAAAGCATACTAACTTTAAAGCAGTTCAGGGATGAACAATTTGGATAGTATCAGGGATGAACAATTTTGATTCATTTAATAAACATATTTTTTTTTATCTTTTAATATGTTTATCATACATTTCAAAACTACAAGAAATGAAAATCACTCTGCCGTAACCATTAATTTATTATAAAAATGTTCCTGAATCATGTTTTACCATTTTTACTGTAGATAAAAGTTGTTTTTATGTGCAGAGGTCATTACATCTGGAATATAACATTAGCGTCTTGTACATATATGTACATGTAATCCTGTATCTTTTACCGGTAATAAAGGAAATGTCACTCTGACTTGACCTACAGTATATTGTTTGTGAATACAGTTATCTGGGCAGATACATGTATTGTTTAACTTGTATTTTATGGAACTGCATGTAATTATATGCAGGTATCTCTGGGAATATCATGGACGGTTTAGTAACACTAACCCCAGATGTAGATAAGTTTCTGAAGATCAAAGAATGGAAGTGTATTATTTTGTTTTACTGTATATCTCTGTCTGCCTGTCTAGGTGTTAACAACTGTAAACTAGCCTAGCCACCATATACATATGTACACAATAGATTCTTCAATTCTGGAGAATGTCATGGTCAAAATTTCAGATCAGGTCAAGGTTAATCTAATTATGCAATGTCAACTATGATTTTGTCCTGAAGGAGTTTGTATCAGTTATAAAACATACTGCATTTCAATTGTATACCCTCTTACTTTACTACTGTAAGTGTAAAAATTGACAGAAGGTTTCTTGCACAATCAAAAATCAAGGAAGAGGAGAATTTTTCTATCATCTAAAGACTTTGATAATTTTGTAATCTTTGCAAACTGTTTTTTGTTTCAGGACTTGGTCAGGCCCTGCGTGGAGCCCCGCACAAAGTTTGTCCAGTGTACTGATCTCAATCCAGTCCTTAATGAATGAAAAACCATACCACAATGAACCAGGATTTGAAAGGGTATTAGTTATGAATTGTTTCACCTTCACCTCATATAAAGAAATCCTTCATTTCATTTGAATTTTTACATACTGTAGCTATCAATACTTTAAATTATGTTACAGGAAAGAATGGCTGGAGACATGAAGCGATACAATGAGATTATTCAACATGAAACACTCCGAGTAGCTGTCTGTGATATGTTAGAGGGAAGGTGTAGTTGTCCAGACACCTTGAAGTTTGTACATTTTTTTCCATACAAATGTACATGTATTTGTGTTTTTCATATTTTTTAAGAAAAGCAGATGAAATTAAAAGATGTGATACTTTTTTAGCTCACCTGAGCTGAAATCTCAAGTGAGCTTTTCTGATCACCCGTTGTCCATCGTCCGTCCGTCTAGCTGTCCCTCCGTCCGTCTGTAAACTTTTCACATTTTCGACTTCTTCTCTTGAACCACTGGACCAGCATCCTTGGGTGAAGGGGAGTTTAAATTGTTAAAATGAAGGGCCAAGTCCCCTTCCAAGGGGAGATAATCAAGAAAGGACAAAAATAGGGTGGGGTAATTAAAAAATCTTCTTCTCAAGAACCACTGGGCCAGAAAAACTGAAACTTATGTGGAAGCATCCTGGGGTAGTGTAGATTCTAAATTGTTCAAATCATGACCCCTGGGGTAGGGCAGGGCCACAATAGGGAATCCAAGTTTTACATTGAAATATGTAGAAAAAAGCTTCTTCTCAAGATCCACAGGGCCAGAAAAGCTAAAACTTAAGTGGAAGCATCCTGAGGTAGTGTAGATTCTAAATTGTTCAAATCATGACCCCTGGGGGTAGGGTGGGGCCACAATAGGGAATCCAATTTTTACATTGAAATACGTAGTAAAAATCTTTAAAAATCTTCTCAAGCACCAGTGGACCAGAAAAGCTGAAACTTATGTGGAAGCATTCTGGGGTAGTGTAGATTCTAAATTGTTCAAATCATGACCCCTGGGGGTAGGGCGGGGCCACAATAAGTACTACAAGGGTGGAAATCAGGTGAAAAACAGCAAAACCAAAGTTACTCAGGTGAGCGTTGTGACCCATGGGCCTCTTGTTTAAAATGAGAGGGGCAATTATTAACATAAAAATAGACATTAGTGATTGATTGAATAAAGCAATTTATGTATTTGATATGAGGATGTAACCTTTGTAGTTTACTTTTTATTTCTAGGGAGGTGATGGAAACATCATTTTTTGAGTATTATGACTACTACAAATCTATATGTTCCTCAAAAAAGCACCTACAAGGTCAAACTATGCAGGTTTGTTTTTATATACATGTACAATAAACATTACATTTCCAATGTCTTTAGAAAGAAAAATACATGTATCACAGGCTTTAGCTGCTATGGCATGATTCTTGCCTACATCCAGTATGGATAATAAGTTTAGAAAACATTTAAGAAAGTATTTGTATTGATGTAGGAAGTTTTTGAAAGAGAGAATAAAGTAAAAAATAATTTTCTACTGAACAAACTCATCTATACAAGTCAAAATGATGCATGGCTATGAGGAAATAAAATTTAAATTCAAGCTTGCATGATCAAATTTGTTTGATATCTCTTTGTTTAGGTTTTAAACTGTAATTTACCCTAAATATTAAATATGTAATATTAATTTAAAGGATCCATTTGGTGAAAAAAGAGGATGTTTTAATTACGAATCCATTGAGAAGCGACTTGATGAGATAAAGAGACGGTTAGACGAGAAACAGATTCTGTCTAGTGACTCATCAGAAGAATCCGATATGGAAACGAACGAGAAAACCAGTGATTCTGTAGAGGATAATGGAGCTGATTCTTCAGAGGTCAAAGAGGCCAAAGACAATGGAGATGTCAACAGCTGATACCAAGTCTTGTGATAAATATAACATGAACAAGTATTACTTCTTTATTGGACCTAACTACTGCTCCTTGCACTGAATATGAAGGACATACTCATATTAAGTTTTCAGAAAATTTCTATGATGTACACTTGAATGCAGGCTAAGAGAATAATTTTCTATACATTTTTGCAATATTAACTGACTTTGAAGTGTAAAAGGTGTGTTTGATGGTCAAATCTGTATATTTTTTTTTCTTTTTTGTGTTTGGTCATTTGACAATGCAAGTGTACTGTCTGGAAAGTACCTTGTAGAGTGTTTTTTGCAATAGTTTTCTGAGATGTTTTGAATAAAGGATGTTGATTTGGACCACTTAATGCAGTCTTTCAGTTTCTTTTGTTGGTACTTATAATAAAGTGTAGTTTTGTATGTATAATTTCCAGGAATTTTTAGATTTATAATGTGGCATGATAGGCTATCATGTTTAAATGGCAGGTGATAAGCTTCAAGCATACTTATATATTTACACCCGTTTATTTTCTTGTATTAAATGCACTCTAATTTAGAACAAATCAATTTAATTAATAATATTGAAACTATGCTATGATCAATGATCATTGTTTGTAGGAATAGTACTTTTTTCTTGAGAGATGTTTTCAAAGTTTCTTACTTGTATTGTTTTTTTTAATTATGTACATGTATATTGTACAGTAGTTATTACTACAAAGATGTTTGTTAACCTAACAGGGTATATGATTTTATTCTTATGCATATACTGGACCAATTGTTATAAGCATATTCTTATTCAGAAATTTGTTATCAGTGCCAACAAAGAAATTAATACATGTAGTAATTATTAATTACTGGCATGTCTTACATGTATTTTCCCCTGTGAGTGTGTGTACATTTTTGTAATTGTCCCATCTATTTGTGTGCATTCATTGAACTGAAAGAGTTTTAACATCCTTAACTTAATCATGCATGAAATTCATGACATGTTAGAATGTCAATATTTTCATTAACAATTTGGAGTCACCTGTACACAGGAAAATCAAGAATCACACTGTTTACTCCTCAGTAAGCATCAGTACATGTATTTTTTCTCTTCATCATGTTCTTGTTATAATACTTATGGAAATGTTTAAAAAAACCCTTTTTAAGACCAAGAATATCAGCTCCACCTTCAAATTTACCTGTTCTGTGAATCACACAAGATGTTAAATTGATATGGTACATTTTCATCTTTACATTTTCTTGCATGAGATATATAATTTGAAATAAATGAAGAGAATCTAAGAAAAAATTGTGTTGTACATAATTTTTAAAGTTTTGTTTGATAAAATTTATAATTCACTTTGGTGTTGAACTTGAATCAGGGTCATTGTAGGTACATGAATACTGTACTATCAATCTGAAATTCTTCCGAAATGATGGGGAAAATACCTAAATGATTTTTGGATTATAATCATTTCTATAAATATTTTGAATTAGACCATGTTGAATCAATTATCTCACTCAGCAGCAGAATTAATAAAACATCACAGTTTTTTTTATTGGGATGATTTATTGTGAATACATGATTGATAGATTCATTAAAAATGTTTTATTCACACAATAAATATGTTGATTTTGAAAAGAGTTTTTATTTCCATTCATCAATTAATATCAATATAACCAGAAAATGAAATCTTTCATTCTTTAAAATTGCTGGGTTTGGCAGAGGAGCGAAAAATGTATGAATAGTTTCTTTTTCCCATAGTAGAATTTGAAGCTATGGTTAGAAAAGACGAAACTGCAACCCATTGGAGTTGTCTCACTTGCTTCAACTGAGCATTTTTGATATCTTCCTTGCAGAGTTGTCGTCCGCTTCTTCTTTCCCGACACGATCATGGAGAGTGACGAATTTGATGTCTAATTCCCATCAAGGACTTAAATAACAGAGATTCTCATTCTTTTGAATATTTCCCCAGAAAACTTTAAAATAGCTGTGGCAAAATGTCATATATCCGGGATTTTACTTTCTCAGTCCATTTTCGGTTTTAGTATGGTGGCCTATCGGAAGTCACTGAATATTTCCCATCAACTTGAATGGAAATATCCAAGTACTTACGATTGAAAGAAATCCGGGAAATTCCAAAATGGATGCGCCCTGTGTGCCAGGCTGATGCTCAAAATATTGTATTAATGTATGAATTGCTGTAATTTGGACAAGTTTATTGTACCAAAGAATGGAAGGTTTGTTTGACAACACATAAATAATATTATGACGTGGATTGCCATCTGATAATACAGTAGGTGTATCATGTGGTGCATGTGCAGATGTGTACATGAATATAATATCATGAATCGCCAGTCTTACAAATATATTGAAGGGTACGAAAAAGAACTGAGGGAAGTCAAGGAACAGTTGGAGGATATTGAAATCCAGATCGAGACGCTTCTCCAGACTCAATCGGATCTAGCAGCGAGAAAAGAAGAGCTAGAATTACTTATTCAGACCAGCAGCAGAACATCAACACAATCCCAGTCTCAGGCAGTCTCACAGAAATGGGACACAGAAGGTTATATATCCTTAGGATTCCACTCTAGTGTTTTCCGCATAGAACTATAAACAAGGTTGTTAGAGTTGACATTCTTTCATGAACAATTGGCTATTGGTGCTAATCATTTTGTGTGCATGAATTCAGTAAGATTTATTGCTACTTTCGTGATTTAAACAATCAGTTGCAGAATATGCATATCATGCATACACGTATATATATTTTAAACATCATATTAATTTTAGACTTAATATTTTGGCAATCACATAGAGAATATTCTGTTGCCCAAGTTCCTTATCTAGGTTTTTTATAAAACATCTGGAAATACACTCAATGAAAATCACCCCCTTCCTTGCGTAAGTCAAGCTCAGCTAAGGCATCAAGCCTTTAGGCATCCTGATATTAGATTAAGATGTTTTCAAACTACAATGAGAGCTGGCCAAGACCTTGGCCTATTGATGTTGAAATCGTCAATGGGAACCATTTACCTCTCTGTAGTGGATAATCTTTTGTGAGTGTATAATTTTTATCTTTAGATTTTACGTATGTTGAACACCAAGCTGTATGTTGGAGGTCACGTTAAGTATTTGATACTTTCAATTGTTTTCTTTTTAATTGAAATTATAGTTTGCAATCTGGGTAATTGTCTTTGTATACATATTTCAGATTTTACATGGAGTGCTGCCTTAAAGCAGAAAATGAAGACTATATTCAAAATCAATGAGTTAAGACCAATGCAGTTACAGACTATGAATGTCACATTGTCTGGTAAAGACTGCATTCTGATAATGCCCACTGGTGGAGGCAAAAGCCTGTGTTTTCAACTTCCAGCACTGCTAAGCAAAGGTAAAACAAAATCAAAACATCCAATAATTCAAAACATTAATAAACAGGATCTCAAGAAGATTTTTCATTCTGTGAAATCACTATTTTCACAGGGGCAAATTTGCATGGTGTGAGGAAAAAGATTTGTTTGTGGGATTTGATTTTGTGGTTGAAGAAACATTAGCATAAAATTTAAGAATTTCATTGAGACATAAAGTATGGTCTCTTCATTCCTAGAAATCAATGAAAATTACCCCCCCCCCCCCCTCTTCCCCCCGAAAAATTAGTGATTTCACACTATTTGACAATGTTTATATTTTGAGCAAAAAAGACCCATAAAACATCCATAAAATAGGAATAAAAAAACTACAGGTAGTGTATGTAACACATTATTAAACTATTTATAAACATCATCAGACACTAAATTTGCAAACTTGATAGAATCAGTTCAAACTTTTTCATGTTTTTGCCAATAATATAAAGGCTCATCATTACCTTAACTCATTGTCTTAAATGTCAAGATCACAGGAGGGGGGAGGGCATTTGTTTGCACACAAAAAAAGATGGAGGGAGGGGGTGGAGGAGATAGACAAAGACACATGTTTGTTACAAAAAAGCCTATTTGTTTAGTAGTTACTGATGACACTTGCTACACCTGACATGTTTCCTGTTCCAGGTGTGACACTAGTTGTGTCGCCATTAGTGTCTCTGATGGAGGACCAGGTGATTGCTCTGGAGAGTTATGATGTCGACGCAGTGATGTTAAATGCCTCTACGGATAGAAACAAAGTAACTGCAGTCCAGAATGCTATGACTGATAAAAACTCTCCCATGAAACTTCTGTATGTAACCCCAGAAAAACTGGCCAAAAGTAAACGCTTCATGGCCAAGCTAGAGAAAATGTACGCCATGGGAAGGTTTTCACATCTAGTTATTGATGAGGTTCACTGCTGTTCACAGTGGGGGCATGATTTTAGACCAGGTATCACTTTATTTCACATAGTTAGCATTCCCTATTTTAACATATTTGTTTGGTCATTTATTTTTTCAATGGTAAAATTGATTGATACATGTACTGGTATCAATATTTCCAAACCTGATATTTTTATGTGTATACAATAAATGATACATGTATTATTATATAAAGGTATGTTCATAATGTGTTTAATAACAAATGAATATTTAAAAAGGGATTGTAGCTGACATTCTGATTGAGATGAATTTCTCAGTAATGAGTTCTAAATGAATGTCTGAATTGTTTTAGATTACAAATTCCTGGGAATCATGAAGCGACAGTTTCCAGAGGTTCCCATTCTTGGACTCACTGCAACGGCAACTAAAAATGTCATTGAGGATGTCAAGAAGATTCTCAATATTCCCTCTTGCATACTGTTTAAGGCATCTTTTAATAGACCCAATCTGTTTTATGAGGTAAAAATATATACCAATTTATATACTGATAGGATATACAGTTGAACTTTGGTATCTTGAACACAGATATCTCGATTACCATGGATATGTCAAAGTAATTTTGGATCGCATTTTTTCTTTAAGTATTTTGTACGCTCGATATTTCAAAGTTTTCCCTTGGCTAATGAAGTTCCAGATAACAAAGTTTGACTGTATTAAGTCCAGGGAAATAGTTTTTCACCCAGATAAAATTAGTCCATTGGTAAACAGATGTACCATTGATAGTTAACACATTTTATAGAAAATCAGACATGGCATTGATATTCTTCCTTTCTAGATCAAATCAAAGCCATCTGAACATAAAGAAGCCATGGATGAAATTCAAAGGCTCATTCAAAAGAGATTTAACAATCAGTCAGGTAAGATTTTTGGTTTTTAGGTCACCTGAGTCACTCAGGTGACCTATTGCTGTTTTCGTCCATGCGGGTGTGCATCTTGTGGGTGTGCGTCGTGCTTAAACTTTTCACATTTTCGACTTCTTCTCAAGAACCACTGGGCTAATTTCAACCAAACTTGCCACAAAGTATCTTGGGTAATGGTGATTCAAGTTTGTTCAAATGAAGGGCCAAGCCTTTTTCCAAGGGGAGATAATTAAGAATTAGTGAAAAATTAATGGCATCTTTTAAAAATCTTCTTCTCAAGAACCACTGGGCCAAGAAAGATAAACTTATATGGAAAAATCCTCAGATAGTGTAGATTCAAGTTTGTTCAAATCATGACCCCCTGGGTTAGAGTGAGGTCACAATGGACGATCTAAGTTTTACATAGGAATACATAGGAAAATTTTTTAAAAATCTTCTGCTCCAGGACCACAGGGCCAAGAAAGATGAAACTTATGTGCAAACATCCTCAGGTAGTGTAGATTCAATTTTGTTCAAATCATGTCCCCCGGGGGTAGGATGGGGCCACAATGGACAATCAAAGTTTTACATAGGAATACATTGGAAAAATCTCTAAAAATCTTCTCCAGAACCACTGGGACAATGTTAATTCAAATTTGTTCATATATTGACCCCCTGGGATAGGGAGGGGTGCAACAGATGATCAAAGTTTTTTAGTTAGGAATTTATAGGAAAGATCATTTAAAAATCTTCTCAAAAACAACAAAACCATGATAAGTCATTTTGATATAATTTAATTTTGGTTGTAACACGTCATTTAATTGGCTAAAAAATTAATTTATATTGTATAACCTGTTTTTTTTTTTTTTTTTTTTTTGCAGCTTTCATCTTATATTTCATGGATCCTCTATGGATTGTTGTTTTATACTCAGGTGACCGTTAAGGCCCTTGGGCCTCATGTTAAGCTTTATAATTCCTAATGGAAAAAAAGTTGCACTTGTTACAAACAATGTAAATATATATACAACTGAGTTATTAATTGCTATGTTAATATTGCAGGAATTATATACTGCTTTTCCCGTAAGGAATCACAGGACGTTACAGCTGATTTACGGCAGAGAGGAATTAAAACAGGTTGTTACCATGCAGATCTTAGCTCTCATGAAAGGAGTCGAGTGCATAAAATGTGGCTTAAAGATGAAATCAAGGTATAAAAATATATTCAAATGTGTAGAAAATTTCATATAGGAATATACATACAACATTTAAATACTAAACCTTATAACATATTAAAAGATTTGATAAATTTGACTCTTATTTACAAGATAAGAAGCCATGTATGAAAATTATTGTTAAGCTTGAATATAATGCTGTAAAATTGTTCTAAGGAATCCAGAATTGTCATTTAGAAGGCATGAGGTTTGAAAAAAAAAGAAATAGGTTCTAGATGTGACCAAAAAAAAAGAATTCTTAAAGCTCCCAAACAATATATTGAAATACTTTCAAATATTGGTTTGTATTTCTTGATGAGGAAAAAAAATTAAAAAATAACTTTCAGTTGGGATGGCAATCAAATACAGAATACTTTCTGACAGATAAAACATCTCACAATACCTTGTAATTGGCATAACGTTTATCAGCTCATTACACTGTACTTTGAAACTGTATGATATATAGTTACCACACAAATTAATATTTAAATAACTGTGAAAATACATTGGGGTTGGTATTCCACAATGGGTCTTGTAGACTAATAATTTGGAAGATTTTTGGAAAGATGGATTAATAAAATGATAAATAATTATTTGTAATAATTTCAATTTCATTATTCATTAAATGGTTGGGGAACCATATTTCTTTTTAATTGTCAGATTCTATGGCAGTCTTATGATCTGTGGATTTTTTTTTTTTTTGCTGGCAAATGCATGGACTATAATGCTAGTAGCAAATAAATAGCTGATCACTCTTAGATTTATTTACATCTTCAATGAGGCTGTAAAGCAGGCAACACATGCATTCCCTGGAACACTAGTTTTTTTGACTAACAGATTACAGATTTTCTAATTACTTGCCATTGTTCTGACTGAGTAACTAGTTACAAGTAACTGGTTTCCATTTAATATCCCTATTTTTAGCTCACCTGACAGGGATAGACATTAATTAACTTTCAGATTTACTTGCCCTTCGGGCAAGTGATCTCAAAATTTGACTTGTCCGAATGCAAAACTTTGTTGCCCAAAATTAGGAAAGAACTTTTGAAAAGAAGAAAATTATTAATTACTGTAAACGTAATGATAAGAAAAAAAATGTGACTAAATACACTACTGTCAATTTGGCAAGTTGAGCTACCTGAAAAAAAATTTGATGCTGCATCTGTACATAAATATATACCACTGTACTTGTGAATTTAACCTTTTAACACACACTTTCATGCAGCAATAACCCTCCGTTTCCTTTTAATAAAATTATATTTTTAGCTCACCTGAGCCAAAGGCTCAAGTGAGCTTTTCTGATCAAAATTTGTCCGTTGTCTGTCGTCGTTGTTGTTGTTGTCGTTGGTGTTGGCGTTGTTGTTGTAAACTTTTCACATTTTCATCTTCTTCTCAAGAACCACTGGGCCAAATTCAACCAAACTTGCCACAAAGTATCCTTGGGTGAAGGGGATTCAAGTTTGTTCAAATGAAGGGCCACGCCCTCTTTCAAGGGGAGATAATTAGGAATAAGTGAAAAAATAATGGCATCATTTAAAAATCTTCTTCTCAAGAACCACTGGGCCAGGAAAGATGAAACTTATGTGGAAACATCCCCAGGTAGTGTAGATTCAAGTTTGTTCAAATCATGACCCTGGGGGTAGGGTGGGGCCACAATGGGGGATCCAAGTTTTACATAGAAATATATAGGAAAATATCTTTAAAAATCTTCTTCTCAAGAACAGCAAAACCATGATTGGTCATATTTATATGGAAGCATCCTCAGGTAGTGTAGATTCAAGTTTGTTCAAATCATGACCCCCGGGGGTAGGGTGGGGCCACAATGGGGGATCAAAGTTTTACATATAAATATATAGGAAAATATCTTTAAAAATCTTCTTCTTAAGAGCAGCAAAGCCATGATTGGTCATATTTATATGGAAGCATCCTCAGGTAGTGTAGATTCAAGTTTGTTCAAATCATGACTTCGGGGGTAGGGTGAGGCCACAATGGGGGATCAAAGTTTTACATAGAAATATAAAGGAAAATATCTTTAAAAATCTTCTTCTTAAGAACAGCAAAGCCATGATTGGTCATATTTAAATGGAAGCATCCTCAGGTGGTGTAGATTCAAGTTTGTTCAAATCATGACCCCCGGGGGTAGGGTGAGGCCACAATGGGGGATCCAAGTTTTACATAGAAATATATAGGAAAAACTTTTAAAAATCTTCTTCTTAAGAAGAGTAAAGCCATGATTGGTCATATTTATATGGAAGCATCCTCAGGTAGTGTAGATTCAAATTTGTTCAAATCATGACCCCTGGGGGTAGGGTGAGGCCACAATGGGGGATCCAAGTTTTACATAGAAATATATAGGAAAAACTATTTAAAATCTTCTTCTTAAGAAGAGTAAAGCCATGATTGGTCATATTTATATGAAAGCATCCTCAGGTAGTGTAGATTCAAGTTTGTTCAAATCATGACCCCCGGGGGTAGGGTGGGGCCACAATGGGGGATCCAAGTTTTACATAGAAATATATAGGAAAATATCTTTAAAAATCTTCTTCTCAAGAACAGCAAAGCCATGATTGGTCATATTTATATGGAAGCATCCTCAGGTAGTGTCGATTCAAGTTTGTTCAAATCATGACCCCCGGGGGTAGGGTGGGGCCACAATGGGGGATCAAAGTTTTACATAGAAATATATAGGAAAATATCTTTAAAAATCTTCTTCTTAAGGGGATGAAGGACACATGGTCACATGACTTTGTTAAACTACGTCATAGTCTCCATTTATATAAGTGCAAAACGTGTAAAGCATCAGTTCTTGTATAAATTTTTGACAATTATTTTTCTTTAATTACCATCTTATATTAAAAAAATAAAAAGTTTAACATTCTTGTAAACATTAACAAATTATGAAAAAAGATTGATCCACTCCTCTGTTTCTTTAAACTGCGCGTCCAACAAGTCGGTGACGTCATACACGATCTGTTAGTACAGGAAGATCATACTCGGTGAATACAAGGGCGGTATTATTATGTAAAAACTGGTCATAATCAGTATATGATGAAGTATTTTGAGAAACAGGGAACACAAAAATTATTTTTGCATGGCTGATGACGGAAATCTTATGTAGGTATATCTTATTTCGCTTACTTAGCTTACGTGTGACGTCATAGTTGGTTTTTCCCGTACTCGAGAAATGTAAACATGACAAGTTTTTGTCCTGCTTATGTCGTCTTTAACGATGTCCTGTGCAATATTGAGGTCAGCTTCACCATTCGAAATTTTTACAGTTAATAAATAATTTAAAGGACTTGCATTTCAACGTAAATTTAAAAATATTGAATGATAGGATTTTTTGTAAATTACGTTTTTTGTTGTTTAAGTTGTCTTAAAAAGTTCGTATTTTTCCCTATCCAGATGCAGTGTGATAGATGAAACTTGCCTATTCGAATTTTAAACCCAATTCATACTCTGAAATATTTTAAAAGATACATGTTCACTTACATATTTTTTATATATGCTTTAAAAATCCAATTATGGACAGAGTAATGAGCCCGGAAACATGGAGAACTAAAACTCCACTTAGATACTGCAGGGCATAATATTTGTCAATCAATATCTCTAAAATAAGGTAAGAAACCTAATGATATAACTGCTTTAAGATATGTGGGACATAATTAATAAGAAGTATACAAAATATAAAAAAAAATTGAATGACAGGTATTTTTTCAGCGAAAGGTCCTTCTTCCCCTTAAGAGCAGCAAAGCCATGATTGGTCATATTTAAATGGAAGCATCCTCAGGTAGTGTAGATTCAAGTTTGTTCAAATCATGACCCCCGGGGGTAGGGTGGGGCCACAATGGGGGATCAAAGTTTTACATAGAAATATATAGGAAAAACTTTTAAAAATCTTCTTCTTAAGAAGAGTAAAGCCATGATTGGTCATATTTATATGGAAGCATCCTCAGGTAGTGTAGATTCAAATTTGTTCAAATCATGACCCCCGGGGGTAGGGTGGGGCCACAATGGGGGATCCAAGTTTTACATAGAAATATATAGGAAAAACTTTTAAAAATCTTCTTCTTAAGAACAGCAAAGCCATGATTGGTCATATTTATATGGAAGCATCCTCAGGTAGTGTAGATTCAAATTTGTTCAAATCATGACCCCCGGGGGTAGGGTGAGGCCACAATGGGGGATCAATGTTTTACATAGAAATATAGAGGAAAATATCTTTAAAAATCTTCTTCTTAAGAACAGCAAAGCCATGATTGGTCATATTTATATGGAAGCATCCTCAGGTAGTGTAGATTCAAGTTTGTTCAAATCATGACCCCTGGGGGTAGGGTGGGGCCACAATGGGGGGGGTCAAAGTTTTTCATAAGAGTATATAGAAAAAAACTTTAAAAATCTTCTTCTCAAGATAAGCAAAGACATGATTGGTCATATTTATATGGAGGCATCCTCAGGTAGTGTAGATTCAAGTTTGTTCAAATCATGACCCTCGGGGGTAGGGTTGGGCCACAATGGGTGATCAAAGTTTACAGAGGAATAAATAGGAAAAAATCTTTCTCTCAAGAATAGAAAGCCATGATTAGTCAAATTGATATGGAAGCATCATTGGGTAGTATAAAATGAAATTTGTTCAAATGAGCGCCCCCGGGGGTAGGGTGGGGCCACAATGGAGGATCAAAGTCTTTAATAGAAATATATAGGAAAATATCTTCTTCTGAAGAACTGCAAAGTCATGATTAGTCATTTTGATATGGAACCATCCTCAGGTAGTGTAGATTCAAGTTTGTTAAAATGATGACCCCCGGGGATAGGGTCAGGCCACAATGGGGGATCAAAAATTTTACATACTAGGAACATATAGGAAAATATCTTCTCAAGAACTGAAAATCATGTTTTGTCATTTTGATATGGAAGCATCTTCAGGTAGTGTAAATTCAATTTTGTTAAAATTATGACCCCTGGGGGTAGGGTGGGGTCCAATGGGGGATCGAAAGTTTTACATAAGAACATATATAAAAAATATTTCTTCTCAAGAACAGAAAAGCTATGTTTAGTCATATTGATATAGAAGCATCCTCAGGTAGTGTAGATTCAAGTTTGTGCAAATGATGACCCCTGGGATCGGGAGGAGCCACAATGGGGGATCAAATTTTTACAAAGGAATATATAAGAATTTTTTTTAAAAAATCTTCTCAAGTACAACAAAGCCATCAAGTACAACAAAGCCATTTGTTATATTGACATGGAAGCATCATCAGGTAGTTTAAAATTCAAGCCCTCCGGTAATCTTTTCAATACTGAACTGATTTGTGCTTTTGCCTAGCCAATGTGCTCAGGTGAGCAATGTTGCCCATGGGCCTCTTGTTTTTTTCGATGTTGTTACAGGTTGTGGTGGCCACCACAGCTTTTGGTATGGGTATAGATAAGCCAGATGTTCGCTTTGTGATCCACCACTCTGTTAGCAAGTCAATGGAAAACTTGTACCAGGAGAGTGGGCGAGCAGGCCGAGATAACAAAGTGTCACACTGCATCGTGTTCTACAGACTGGCAGACATATTCCGACAGAGCACAATGGTGTTCACAGAACAGACAGGACTAGACAATCTGTATGGAATCATGGCTTACTGTATGGATCTTACCAGGTTACCTTTAGTTTTACATATGTCTTATGACTTTGTGTACTTTGTATTAGTATAATTATGTATCAATAAAGAAATTGAAAATGCTAGTATCTTGTATAGATAAGTGCTGCTTTATTTATTTTTTTGGCATATAAAGGGTGGTGGTTATAATGATTATCTCAGATTTTACTTTAGTTCAACAACATGTCAATAATGTATAAAGGGAAAAATAAATTGCAGTGTTAATTTTTGCTATATTCATGCATACTCTCATTTACATTGCAAATGAATAAAATGAATATTTTAAATATGCTTAAATGTTTTTAAACATAGTAATGTGCATATTGAAGACACACTGGTACTTCATATGTATGTGTATTCAAACACACTGTGATTAGGTGTCAAAAGAAAGACACACAAAGTTAGATACATGTATCTGCATATTTAATCTCTTATACAGTATATACATATAATATATAAACCGATGCCTGAGAATCTTCAAAGGAAATACTGTACATTAATATTGATTCATTTTCAAAGACTTTATTGAAGTCATGCAAGTTCAGAAATTATTAAATAAAATTCCCAATTTCAGATGCCGGAGATCTGTTATTGCTCAGCATTTTGGAGAATCCTGGGATAGATCGGACTGCAAGGAAATGTGTGACCATTGTCAGACTCAAGGTTAGTTTTGAATGGGTTATAAAAGGTCAAAATTAACATGTTTTATATAACTTCAGTATAATGTATAACTGAATATATTACTTGTAAAATCTTGGGGTAAAAAGTTTGTCCTTCCCCTCACACGTCTTTTTGAAAAGAAGATTTTAATGATTGGATATAAATGTACATCTTCATTTGCTTATTATATATATTTCTCATGCATATTACCAGTTTGTACTTTGAAAAAAAGAAAGTTGAAGGGATATATGTGGTTAGGGTTATGACCCTCTTCCCTTAGCTTTCTTAAGGGGGCATAACTCTCAGCTAGCAAATAATATTTATAGCACAAATGAATGTGCACTCTATTTATTCATTCCTTTGTTTCAGCTGAGATAGAAAAAAGAGATGTCAAAAAACATTGTCAACTGATCATAGAAATTCTGAAGCAAGCATCTAGGCTGGAGGAAAGACTGACAGCAATAAAACTGATGGATGCCTTTCAAGGAAAGAAAGTAGGAGGATTCAAGGTCACAGGTCTTGATCTGCCCGCAGTCACGAGAGACGTACTGGAGAGGATCATATCTCTTATGTTAATCAGGGGTTATCTGAGGGAGGATTTTCATTTCACTGCCTATTCTACCATCAGTTATCTTATCCCAGGTAGGATTATATTATCCCTTAGTTAACTGACTTGAGCCTTTCATTTTATACCTATTTTAGAACATTTAATTCACTCATTCTCATGAATAACCACATAAGACTAGTTAGCCAATCAGAGCACACCCTGACCGGCAGAATACTTACTTGTCCAGTGATATTAAGCAATGTAAATACCACTTGGATCTACTAGGCTTAAGCATACTAAACAGTATAGCAGGAGGTTGCAATTAGAAAAGCATGTGTTTGGAGTGGAAAAACTGACAGGGTGACCTTGTCTGTCTCTGATTCTAATGATGTTTTTGTAACTAATTAGGAATCTCACTTTCCAATTTTCAACACTTTTTGTGATGCAATAACTCAATTTTCAACTAACATTTTAAAATTTTGTTTAGATGTACTTTACTGTAAAAGGAAGACACATAAATTTTTTTGTGTCATATAACTTTGCCTCTCTTTCTGTATGTGTTTCTGTATTGACACTTTAGCTGTAATGCAATTGAATCAGTTTTCAATGTACATTTTGAAATTTTATACAGCAGTACTAATATTCCTAAAGATTTTGGAGTCATATCACTTCATCCATCTGTCTGTATGTCTCTGTCTTCATGACTCAGTAACTCAAACAGTTTTCATCATGACTGTTTCAAATTTTATACAGAAAGAGTTGAACATAAGAGGAAGATAGTTCAAGACACCTATTAATTTTGTAGTCTATTTTTTTGTTAATAATTCTATTGAGAGCGACATGTTGTACTCAGAAAGTTTTCACATTACTCTACTAAATACAGTTGTCTCTTTTATTTGACAGCCCTTAGCTGGGCACTCTCTGATTGTGTCAGTTTTCTGGTTCACAACAGATATAGCATTGGATTACTTGAAGTCAATGTCATTATTACCAATCCTCTATCATTTGTTAAACAATAGGCCCATGGGCCCATGCTCACCTGAGTCACTATAGCCCTCCTGTTCTTTTATCAGCAGAATTTTCCCCCTATATATTCCCATATATAATTAAGATCACATATTGCAGCCCCACCCTACCCCAGGAGGTCTTGATTTGAACAAACTTGAATAAACGTCATGTCAGGAAGCCTTCACTTACATTTCATCTTTTCTGGCCCAGTGGTTCTTGAGAAGATTTTGTAAATGACCCTATCCAATTTTCCCTATTTCTTAATTATCTTCTTTTAGAAGAGGGTGTAGCCCTTCATTTGAAAAAACTTGAATCCCCTTTACCTAAGGACACTCAGAGCCAAGCTTGTTTAAAATTCGCCCAGTGGTTCAGGAGAAGATTAAAATATAAAAAAAGTTTATTTAAATGCCGAAGACAGCCAATGGACAAATTTTGATCAGATAATCTCACTTGAGCCTTCAGCTCAGGTGAGTTAAAATAATACTAGGGTCATGAGATGAATATTCATCAAATATGTGTTTATGGAAGAGAATCTAAATCTGTGGCTTCATCTGTGTTGATTATAACTCTGTTTAGCTGATACATTTAGCTATGATGTGGTTGACCTTTTCATAGCATAATATTCAATATTCAGACATAGGTAAATAAGGATAATTTTCTGGTGTACCTTGAACAGATTAGCCTTGGCTATGACCTTTGACATGAATCAGAAATAAAAAACATTTTCATGTATTATGTAATTTTGTTGAGAATGATCTATCTTCCATTTATCATATGTTGGTAAATCAGAATGTTTTCTGTTGAAGAAATATTTTTTTGTAGTACATGTAAATAAATTTCATGATTGAGTTAAATTTCAACTTTATACTTCAATGTGTTCATCAGGTGACAAGCAGAATTTACTGAAGTGTGAATCTACAAAGGTCCTACTGGACTGTGTTCAGAAAAGGAAACCCACCAAACCCAACTCAGCTTCTTCAGTATCTCATACCAATGACAAGAAGAAATCTGAAATACCAAAGAGTAAATCCAAACCCAAACTTGTTATTGTGAAGTCTCAGAATTCAAATAACCCTGGCACCAATAATGGTGCAGTCACAGAAAAACCTTCTGTCCACAAACAGCTTTCACTCAAGAGGAAAAAACCTATAATATACGAGTCTGAGGATAGTGATCTAGACTTTGGTGAAGAGAGCACCGATTGTTTTGTGGTGAAAAAAAGGTATGTGGATTCTTCTGCTAACCCAGATTCCAACCTGAATCTGATGAATGAAGAAATGGAGAAAGTGGACAGACATGTGGATAATACAGACAGTGTTGGTAATTCACAAGATGATGCTATACAACTGGACTCTGACAGCAATGATTGAATCAGAATGAAACAGTTGTGATCATGTTGATTCCAAAGAAAAGGAGGAAGATATACTTACAGGCTTGCTTTCTGCATAGGAAACAGAATCAAGGAATTTGCAGAATCAAAACTGTGCATCAACCCAAAAACTTGTTTGATACTGAATATTTGCTCGAGATTTTCGTTAACACATTATGAAAAAAATGTTTTTAAAGAATCTCAGTGTTCTTGTTGTGTAATGACAAATTATTATATTTCCTGTGAGTGAAGGAGGTTTTCAAAACCATGTTGTCAAAATATGCACAATTAAGTTATATAATATATATGTGCATGCATTTTTCAGTCAACTGGGTTGGGGTTAAGCTTTTCACATCGGATTCAATGATTGTTCTGAATATGAATGTGTGCATGTAAACTTTTAATATTGTCATCTTTTTGAGAGCTAGTTTGAACAAACTTGCGACAAATCATCCTTTGGTAAAGGGGGATTCGTAATTTTTTTCAGTTAAAGGGACATTCCCTTTTTCAAGGGAAAATAATAAGAAATACCGAAATTAGAGTGCGTGGAATTTTTAATCATAAGAATAACGGGGGCTAGGAAAGACATTTTGCAAGTCAAGGCCCCTGGGGCTGGGATTGGGCCACAGTATAGGGTCAAAATTTTATACAGAATGTAATAACCCACAAAAGGGTTCAAAGTTTTGAATTAAAATGTTCCACAGAAGGATTCAAAGAAATGAATTAAAAGCTTTTTTCTTATGAATAGCAAGGTCAGCATTAGTAAAATTAAAAGCAAAGTATCTTCATGAAGTTTAGAAACATATTTGTTCAAAACATGGGTCAGGCACTGGGACCACAATTGGGAAGTTTTTATCATATGGTATATACCTCATTATACTTATTCTAAACAACGCATTATCTGATCGGTTCTAGACAGTCAGCTAGTGACAGGGCCATAAAAACTTCATATTTCCCTGTCTTCGTTCTTTTCATCATACTGTATACAGGGTTATTTTCGTTTGTGTTATTTTTCGCCCTTTTACACTTGCAAACAACTTTACCCCGTTTTAAACTCGCCCAGTCATAGTTCTGTTTAAGAAATTTTGCTGTGTTCTTTGAGTTCGTCCCGTTTTAAATTCGGCCATCAGTGAGTAGGATGAAAATAAAACGGAGGGGAAAAAATTCCCTGTATACAGTAATTATTCTATCTCTTCGGAGATCTCGTGAATTTTCCCTCAATACTTTAATATCATTCATTGAACGAAAACTGCCGAGAGCAGTAGACGTAACAAAATTCATAACAATACAAAGGTATGCCAAGCAGTGACAAGCGATCTTCTTTCCGATAAGGGGGCTAAAAAAATCCAAGACAAATGTCTTTGAAGTTTACAAGGACTTCAGTAAAGTGTTTCAGAGACTTTTTAAAAACTGAAAGTGAATTGGAGAGCGGTGCTTAATGTTAAAGTTTGTGTTTATTTTTAAAGGCTTGGCTTGTTTCACTATATAATAAACATTTATTACATGACTAGCATGACCCCCTCGGGGAATATGATTTTTCTTGCCTGAATAAATCTTCATATTGCCCACACGATTCATGCAATAAATGTATAATATTTTTTCAGATTTAAGAAACTTCTTTTATCTAGAAAATTATGAAAACTACGAATTTTGGGACACGTTTGATTGACACGGATCCTTGCTCTTCACATAGTGAACTCTACCCGTAATAATTAAGAAAAGTAGAAATTTTGTTGTGAATTAGCAAATAAAATATTAAAACTATAACCCAAGAAATCAGAGTAGAAATGTGAGAAAGCAAAGCCAGCTCACCAGTATTGTAAGTCCGTGCTCAGTGATGTGTGAACAAACTGAACATACCTGGAAAAAACAGATGTTTGACGTGATGTAAAGAATTTCATTGTCATTGAATTCTTAGAATATACATGAAAGTTTAATTCAATGAACGGGTTTTATTTTTTTGAATAACCAAAGAAATTTAAAATATAAACAATGCAACTGTGTGTAGGCCCCTTTAAAGTCAGCATGAGAATCTGTACTCAGGTTAGTCCGAAATATCTGACGTTTTCCAGGCTTTTTTCACGATTTTGATATTTTACATGCCAGGAAAACGTCAGAACCACGAAAACTGGAAATTCGCCGCCTACAACTGGAGGCGGTATTCTTAAGTGGATTTTCGATACCTGCGAACCGAATTAAATGCTGGATTCACAACTTATAAATAGTACAATGCCTTTAGTACTCACCAACATCATTTTTATGGTTTGTCTATGAAATATACAGTCTGGTGAAAACATTTTATCAGACCGTCGAGTTTTCTTTTCATTTCGTCATTAAAATCTTGCAAGATCTGTATCGAAATGTGGAGTGATATTTTCTCTTTTCATCGATATTGGTGAGTACTAGAAGCATTGTGCTCCTGATAAATTGTAAGTTCGGCATTTAATTCAGTTTGCAATTATCGAAAATCAGCTCCGGTTGGAGACGGTGAAATTTCCAGTTTCCGTAATGGCGCCAATTCTGACGTTTTCCTGGCATGTAAAATACCAAATCGTTAAAAAAAAGAAGCCAGGAAAACGTCAGATATTTCGGACTATACTCAGGTGAGCTTGTGGTCCATGGGCCTGTTTTCTTCTGTTCAGCGAAGATAGATGAAGAGCTACCATAGGTACAAATTTCTGTCCCCAAGATGAATTGTGTCAATATCTGATATCATACATGCATAAGACAAATTTAAGCTGACATGCGACTAATCAATGTCAACATGCGAGTTGACAAAGTCCACATGCACCATAGATATGTTCATATGCAAGTTATAAACATGTATCGACTTGCAAGATAATGATGTTGGCATGCAATATATGTGGTCATAGCAATTTATTTATGTCGATTAGCATCATTATGTTATGTGACTTGAATATGTCAAAATTGAAGATAATTTTGTTGACATGACATAAATTAGTCGCATGTCAACATACATGTATTATGTTGATGTTGCATGTTGACATACATGTATACGTCGCATTGACATAGATTACATGTACACATGTCGCATGTCAGTTTTAAACTCGATCGCATGTCTGCATGATTGAATATGTCACATGTCGACATAATTATATTGCTTGTTGAGATAGTTATAATACATGTCAGCACAATTAACTCACAAATGGACGTTAACAAGTTTGCATGTTAACATAATTTACGTTCCACATTGCATGTTTGATATCATTAACTTAATTTATGTGCTTATCAAAATCAAGAGAATAGATTTGTTAGTTGCATGTCGACTTACTACTTCGCAGAACTGTTAATTCCTATTTTTAGCTCTTCTGAGCCAAAGGCTCAAAGAGCTAATGCTATGGCCATTTGTGCAGTGTGCGTAAACTTTTTAGAATATTTGCCATAATTCAAGAACCCCTTGGCCAATTATTGTCAAATTTGTCACAGGGTATTCTTGGCCCAAGCGCTCCCTTTTATACTAAAACTAGGGTTGTGACCCTTAAACAAGGGGAGATAATTAGGAAAATAGAAACATTAGTACTGGTTGCTAAAAAATCTTCTTCTCAAGAACCACTGGGTAGATTATCACCAAACTTACACAAAAGGATGAGGATATGTTGTAGATTAAAATTGCATGGAAATTTACCCTTGGGCAAAGGGCGTGGTCTCAAGGTCACTTCAAACATGACCAACAATTACATTTTATTAAAATGTTATTTTGCTTACTATAAGGATTAGGATCATCAAATCTTGTCAGTTGATGCATCTAAGGACCTCATATCATGTTGACTCAAAAGTAGGTCACGGTGACTTACTTTTTAGCTCACCTGAGCCGAAGGCTCAAGTGAGCTTTTCTGATCACATTTTGTCTGTAGTCCGTCTGTCTGTCCGTCTGTAAACTTTTCACATTTTCGACTTCTTCTCAAGAACCACTGGGCCAATTTCAACCAAACTTGCCACAAAGTATCCCTGGGTAAAGGGGATTCAAGTTTGTTCAAATGAAGGACCACGCCTTCTTCCAAGGGGAGATAATTAAGAATTCGTGAAAAATTAATGGCATCATTAAAAAATCTTCTTCTCAAGAACCACTGTGCTTGAAAACATGAAACTTATGTGGAAGCATCCTCAGGTAGTGTAGATTCAAGTTTGTTCAAATCATGACCCCCGGGGGTAGGGTGGGGCCGCAATGGGCGATCAAAGTTTTACATAGGAAATATACAGGAAAAATCTTTAAAAATCTTCTTCTCAAGAACAGCAAAACCATAATTGGTCATATTTATATGGTAGCATCCTCAGATAGTGTAGATTCAAGTTTGTTCAAATCATGACCCCCCGGGGGTCGGGTGGGGCCACAATGGGCGATCAAAGTTTTATATAGGAATATATAGGAAAAATCTTCAAAAATCTTCTTCTCAAGAACAGCAAAGCCATGATTGGTCTTATTTACTTGGAAGCATCCTCAGGTAGTGTAGATTCAAGTTTGTTCAAATCATGACCCCCGGGGGTCGGGTGGGGCCACAATGGGCGATCAAAGTTTTGCATAGGAATATATATGAAAAATCTTTAAAAATCTTCTTCTCAAGAACAGCAAAGCCATCATTGGTCATATTTATATGGTAGCATCCTCAGGTAGTGTAGATTCAAGTTTGTTCAACTCATGACCCCCGGGGGTCGGGTGGGGACACAATGGGCGATCAAAGTTTTACATAGGAACACATAGTAAAAATCTTCTTCTCAAGAACAGCAAAGCCATGATTGGTCATATTTATATGTTAGCATCCTCAGGTAGTGTAGATTCAAGTTTGTTCAACTCATGACCCCCGGGGGTCGGGTGGGACCACAATGGGCGATCAAAGTTTTACATAGGAATATATAGGAAAAATCTTTAAAAATCTTCTTCTCAAGAACAGCAAAGCCATGATTGGTCATATTTACATGGAAGTATCCTCAGTTAGTGTACATTCAAATTTATTCAACTCATGACCCCCGGGGGTTGGGTGGGGCCACAATGGGCGATCAAAGTTTTACATAGGAACACATAGTAAAAATCTTCTTCTCAAGAACAGCAAAGCCATAATTGGTCATATTTATATGGTAGCATCCTCAGATAGTGTACATTCAAATTTGTTCAAATCATGACCCCCGGGGGTCGGGTGGGGCCACAATGGGCAATCAAAGTTTTATATAGGAACACATAGTAAAAATTCTAAAAAAAAAACAATTTGTTAAGAATAGCAAAGTCATGATTGGTCATATATATATGGTAGCATCCTTAGATAGTGTACATACAAATTTGTTCGAATCATGACCCCCGGAGGTCGGGTGGGGCCACAATGGGCAATCAAAGTTTTACATTGGAACACATAGTAAAAATCTTTAAAAAAAACTATTTGTTAAGAATAGCAAAGCCATGATTGGTCATATTTATATGGAAGCATTCTTAGATAGTGTACATTCAAGTTTGTTCAAACATGACCCCTGGGGGTCGGGTGGGGCCACAATGGGTGATCAAAGTTTTACATAGGAATACATAGGTTAAATCTTTAAAAATCTTCTACTCAAGAACAGCAAAGCCATGATTGGTCATATTTAAATGGAAGCATCCTCAGATAATGTAGATTCAAATTTGTTCAATTCATGACACCCCCCCCCCAACCACTTTTATATTTAAACTTTTCAACCTTTCAAGATTGAAGTGATTTCTGCTTTTTCCTAGTCATGGTGCTCAGGTGAGCGATGTGGCCCCTGGGCCTCTTGTTAAATTTTGGGGCCATTCTTTTTCAAAACGATTTAGAGGCATATTTTGAACAATTTAAGGCCTATGATCATAAAACTTTGTCAGTTGATGTATCTTGGGCCCTCAAAGTACGTCAACTAAAAAGTAGGTCACCTTGACCTACTTTTTGAATTTTATGGCTAATCTTTTTCAAAACAATTAAGGTAATTAATTCGAATACTGAGAGGTTTAGAATCATTAAATCTTGTAAGATGATGCATCTTGGGGCAATAAAACATATTTATTAAAAAGTAGGTCAGAGTGACCTACTATTTGAACTTTGCAGGCATTCGATTTCAAAGCGTTTTAGAGGCAAAATTTGGACATTTTAAGGCCTATGATCATAAAACTTTGCAAGTTGATGCATCTTGGGTCCTCAAAAAACGTCAACTGAAAAGTAGGTCACCTTGACCTACTTTTCAATTTATATGACTATAATTAAATATTTCAAGTACTAATTGGCTTAGAATCACCACACTTTGTCAGTTGATGCATCTTGGGTCTTCGGAGTAGGTCGACTGAAAAGTAGGTCACCGTGACCTACTTTTGAAAATTTATGGCTTTAATTAAATATTTCAGGTACTAATTGGCTTAGAATCATCAAACTTTGTCAGTTGATGCATCTTGGGTCTTCGGAGTAGGTCGACTGAAAAGTAGGTCACCGTGACCTACTTTTGAAAATTTATGGCTTTAATTAAATATTTCAGGTACTAATTGGCTTAGAATCATCAAACTTTGTCAGTCAATGTATCTTGGTCCTCAGAGTACAACAATTGAAAAGTAGGTCACCATGACCTACTTTTGAAAATTTATGGCTTTAATTAAATATTTCAGGTACTAATTGGCTTAGAATCATCCAACTTTTTCAGTTGATGCATCTTGGGTCCTTGGAGTACAACTGAAAAGTAGGTCACTTTGACCTACTTTTAAAAATTTATGGCTTTAATTAAATATTTCAGGTATTTATTGGCTTAGAATCATCAAACTTTGTCAGTTGATGCATCTTGGGTTCTTGGAGTATGACAACTGAAAAGTAGGTCACGGTGATCTACTTTTGAAATTTTATCTCTGTATTTAATATTTTTCGGGTACTATTTGGCTTAGAATCATCAAAATTTGTCAATTGGTGCATCATGGATCCTCGGAGTAGGATGACTGAAAAGTATGTCACTGTGACCTACTTATGAAAATTTATGGCTTTAATTAAATATTTTGGGTACAAATTGGCTAAGAATCATCAAACTTTGTCAGTTAATGTATCTTGGGTCCTTGGAGTACAACTGAAAAGTTTGACCTACTTATAAAATTTTATTGTTATAATGTCAAAAAAATAGGTATTAATTGGCTTAGAATCATCAAACTTAGTTGATGGGTCCTCAGAGAATGACAAGTGATAAGTAGGTCACCATGACCAACTCTCAGGTACTAATTGGCTTAGAATCATCTGGGTTCTCAGAGTGTGAATTGGAATTTCACGAGTTTATCTAAATATACAGGATACTTGGAGGCTTCAAATAGAAGTGATAGGTTGTACAGTTTATCAGAAGAGCAATTCAAGGCCCTTGGGCCTCTTGTTGTTATATACATATATCAGTAAGGTATGATATCATCTAGTTACGTGACGGTGTAATGGAAAATGAAGTTTAAATGAATTTAATTATGACAAACTTATTTGGGTTGTTTTTTGTTACTGTATTGTAAATGTAAGTAGTGGTCCAGATCTGGCTTAAGGTATTCCATCCCTAATAGCCTCAGATTCAATGAATTTGAATACATAACAGATGTGTATGTGTGGAATACTCAGTATATTTAGACATAATTTCCATTTATTACTTTTAGCATGTAAGAATGGAACGTGTCCTAATTTATGACCTTGACCTTTGTTGAAGAGTTATCTCCCTCTATACGGTAAAAAATTGTTTTCAATTGTCATTCTATTTCTACTGATTTAATGCATCTTTCCACCACAGTATTTATTGATATTCTTATTACTAGTATTTGAATTTTTATTTTAAAAAAATCGCTTGTTTCCATAGACTTCAATGCAATTTATCTTCATTAATTACTGCTTAGTTATAATTACATTTTTGAAACTTTCTCCTGGTAAATCATTTTCTACTGTAAAATGCTTTGAATTAATATCAGAGTATTATATACGTGATGGATATTTAAGGATAAAGAATTAGGTCCTGTTAGGGATGGAAAACCTTAAAACGACTCATTATTTGACAAAACTAACGTAGACTCTACAGAGCATTGAGTACATAATGATTGGACTCTGATCTATTTATCTGCGTCTGGTATAAGACGTATTACCATCACCACGTGGTGTTGGTATTTCATTTAAATCAGTTTCCAAACTCGCGCATTGATGATGCACTCCTACATCACAATCGTGCCCTTTCACACAGTAGTCTTCCGATGTAATAGTTTCATCGAAATCTGTTTTACTTTCAGACAGATCAAGCGCATTAACATTAGAATCTTGACCCTCTTTTTCTACGTAAAAGTTATCCAGTTTTTCTTCATCTTCCATGTTGTCCTTCGTATACAGGGGGTTATAGTTGCCTGTGGTCAGCTGTACTTGTCTGTGCCAGTGCTTAACCAGAATAAGCGCCAGGAACACACAGAAATTAACAAAGTAACTGTACATCAGGTAACCTAGGTATCTCTTCCAAGCATCTGTAATTAAAGAAATAGAGTAAATGCACATTTCCATCAAAACTGTAACCATGAACATTTTAAAAAACCCATTTTTTTCTCTTCTTATGGTGATATATTATTTATCCAACTGTTAAAGACATATCTAATTAAGTGTTAATATACAATGTATGTAGCTAGTCCCTATTAATGTAAAATTTTCAACCGCGATCTGTGGGAAAAATTGCTTATTTTACGGGATGAATTTGTCCGTCAAATTCTGATTCTGGGCCAACCGTGAGTTTTCCTCTTATTGTTGAACCCAGATTCATAAAACCTCCAACAAGTCAACACGAGTTACAATTTTTGTACGTTTATATGGAATCAGCATGGAATATACTTTTACATGAGTTTGGAATGTATCAGCACCGAAGGTCTGATTCCAACTGACTATAATTTTTAACAACAAAACATACATACTGAACAAAGATATGACAAAATAAAGGGATTAACAAGAAAGTATTAAAAAAAAATCAAGTATCAAACAATTATTGAGCGACTGGTGACATTTAGCGGCATGTATATAATAGAATTAAAGAAGATGAAAGATTAAGTGACAATAAATATAAACAGAAGTCAATTAGGAGATTAACTGTCCATGTCAGACTGCCTCAGGTAGGATTAAAGCTGTGCGGAATTTATAGAATTTATCACATTTGCCGAAATATACGAAAAGTTTTTATAACAATTTACACATAGTCCGAAAAGGTAATTTACACAGTAATTTATAATTAGTCCGAAAAGTCGTATTTTACACCGTAACACAGAACTGAGCTGAAAAATCTTAAAATTCAAATATGCAATGCAAATAAAGAGAAAAGGAGTTTGACGGCCGAATTAACAAAAGCCGAATCTGAAATCGAAAAATTACAAAATGAAAATTTGGAAATGGAAAAGAAGTTAAAACAACAATCAAACAACTGTACCAATAAGACCTATCTTAAGAAAATTCAAAAATTAGAAGAAGATGCTCACGGTGACAGAGTCATTATAGACTTAATGCAAAAGAAACTATAAGAAATCGGTAGTGAGCATAATCAATATGTCATGAAAATTCAAACGGAAGCCGAAAAGACTACTAAACAGTTAAGGGAACAAAACAACGCCCTGCTGCAGACCATCGAAGCATTGCAGGATGAAAGAGATCATCTAGAATCTGCCCTTTTTAGAAATCAACGTCGTTGTCAATCTCGGAGATGTCAAGGAAGACCAAGAAGAGGTCGGTTTTCTTGAAAGAAAATTCAAAACACGAGGACGTGTTTTACGCGAAGGCGAAGCATGTGTTACGGTGTAAAATGTGATCTTTTTGGAATTATCATCAATTACTATGTGAATTAACTTTTCGGACTTTGTGTAAATTGTTATTAAAACTTTTCGTATATTTCCACAAATGTGTTAAATTCTATAAATTCCGCACAACCTTAATCCCACCCGAGGCAAAATCAGAGATGGACACTTAATCTCTTAATTGACTTCTGTTTATATTTATTGACACTTAATCTTTCATCTACTTTAATTCTATTATATACATGACGCTTAAATGTCATCATTCGCTTGTTTAATGCTTGATTTCTTAATACTTATTGTTAATCCTTTTATTTCGTTCAATCATTGTTCAATATATATGTTTTGTTGTTAAAAATTATAGTCAGTTGGAATCAGACCTTCGGTGCTGATACATTCCAAACTCATGTAAAAGTATATTCCATGCTGATTCTATATAAAAGTACTAAAACTATAACGCGTGTTGGCTTATTGGAGGTTTTATGAATCTGGGTTCAACAGTAAGAGGAAAACTCACGGTTGGCCAAGAATTAGAAATTGACGGACAATTCATCCCGTAAAACTTACCAGGATCCCATTTTCTAACTGAAAAAAAAAATCAAAACAAAACATATATTTGTTTCTCTAAATAGTTAGCACAAACAGACAAGCATAAAAAAATTAATGTTACATTTATAGTCGATCTATTTCCTTGATCTGTTTGGATTTTTGAATAAATAAGCTACTTCTGTTATTCTATTCGTTTACTATTAACTATCATTACGAAACCTGAAAAATACAAACTGAAAACACGTTTCACTTTAGAATAACATGTTCTTATTCTGTAAATTGGTTTAGACCGTTTTTTCGTTAAATAAAAAAACATTTTAAATCTTAATTGGTGAACAGATTAATCTTTCATTCATTTTCACGGTGTCCTAAATATTTCCTTTTTTGTTTTTCTTGATAAACATGTTTTTTTTTATTATGATTCAAGTTTCGACCCAAGTACATTGCGCAATTCTTTCTTAATCAACTAAAAGAAAAAAGAACTTCAAAATAAATCTTGCGGAATGATACAATATTTATCCCTATGCAATCAATGCAGAACCAGCGCCACGAAATCGACAGCTGACATATGCATGCGAATGATTGGGTTCAGCGACTGTATTCCATCGATCGCTTCTTCTCGGCGGTCTCGATGATTATCGTTCTTGAGGATAGTTATCATAATGTGTACATTTTCACAGCAGCAGCAGCCAACAATGGTTGAGAGCACTGGTTAGTCACGGCATGCAGACGACATATTGTTTAATGAATAAATGTCTTACCGGAAGAGTAGGTAAGAGAAACTTTTTTTCTATATAATATATATATATAAAGATTTCTCTTGAGGTTAAATGAAAACTAACAGGAAAAAACGATCAATTTAAATTCACAAGGTAATTGACCCTCGGTATGCTAGGTATTTAAAGTGAAACCAAGGTTTTATTCTAGTTTAAATGGTTCACTTAATTTGTTTCTATGACTACAAAATATTGTACTCTTTGGCACTTGAAGCATCGATTTTTCAATTTCCAACACATCCGGTGTGTAAAATTAAATTTGTTCTCCACGTTTGAGGAAATGATTTCATCAATAATATAAACCTTGAGTAAGAAGATGTCAGACAAGTGTCCTACTCAATTTCCAATAAAGCATAGTTTATGTTGCATCTTGATATGCTTCACAATCAAGTGGAGAAATAAAGGACCGTTCAAACAACAAAGCATTGAAGCTGGTATACGGCTTCCGAGTACAATCAATGCCAGAAATTACCATGCTAGCTGAATTAGTGTTGACAAGTAGTAAATAACGCTTTCAGTAAAATACAGCTATTCAATTTTGTTGCAGAAAATGGAAGCTCCGCCTCCATCATACCAAGAAGCGGTAAATTCTGAACCCTCTACATCATCTTCATTTACAATAATTCCGTCCCAAAGTTCACCTGAGTCAAGTGCAGCAGGTGGACACGTATCTGAATTATGTGTTTGTCCACAGCATGGTATTGTGCCTCGTTTAAATGTGTGTATATGTGGAAGAGACGGTTTTCAGAGTGGTGCAATTCAAACGACGTCATGTCAACACTGCAGCAACTACGTCATTGTTCAACGCCATTATTTCAACACTCATGCCCCTAATAGTGACACCAATATTCATTCAAGAAATGAAATCAGTGAAGAACATTGTGACCAATCAGTATCAAATGACGTGTCTGTACATTTTGATTCCGCAAAAGGAACAGTGAGCTCCCTTATTTCAGAACCCGAACGTGAACCGATGCTTTCCGATGCAAATGTAAGTTTGTCAATATCTACGAAATGCTTCTGTTAGAGTTTTGTGTACAACTGGCATATCTTTTCACCAGTCATACAAAATAAGAATTTTACAACAGTGTTATGAAAAATAACACTTGTTCTTCATGCAGATCATGATAATGGCAGTTTTAAGGTATGTATCGTCACACACACGTATATAACTAAAGCTTTAAAGTGTCTTTATGATCACTGGATTCGTAATTCCCAGAATTATTGACTTGGGCTGTAATAAGAAACACTAAATCCACATGACACTGTCTTTTACGTTAACAGTGTTACATAACCCCTTCTAGTATTGTTTTAAACCAATATTGATTAGAATCTAAAAATAAAACGTCTGGACAGGATATTTGTAATAAATGGACAAAGAAAAAAAGGCAAGAATGTTTTTAACAATATCTTGAAAGAGAAAGAGATGGCAAAAATGTCGTTTTGAATCTTCCCGATGTTAAGCTGATTTTTTTCCTTCAAAATGTTCTGTATAATGATATTTGAAATCATAAGCTTAAAATTGAAGCTTTTAAGGAGCCAACATTGTGCTGTAAATTCCGAGAAATGAACGCATCTTAATAGTCTGAGTTTAGTCTAAGAAATAAACGCATTGTGTTCTTTGATATTTTTATTGTATATCGTTTCTTCTATGATTTTAGACAGAATTAGATAGTACTTTCTATAAAAAATAGCCAGAAGTCAGAATTCAATTTTCTAACTTAAGTAAACATATGAATTAACATCCAAAATAATTGATTGAAGGAATATTTGATATAAAGAATATTAAACATATGTCTCGATCTTGTTCATTCTGTAAAATTAAAGCACTGACAAAAATAACATTACGGTAAAGCATCGTAGACGATATAATTAATATTGAACAAGCCCTTCGTAATTACTATGAAATTTGCATCTGTATACGGCAAGGTGAAACTAATCATACATATAACACACCTATATCAACATGATTAATTAATCAGCAATGTCGGCTTCTTTCGCCTAATAAAGAAATGGTATTATTTTACGGAACTTGCACAAGTTTAAACAATGCAATTTAAAATTCAAGTTGAATTTTGTTTTTTTTGTTTTTACCAATTCCGATTCAAAATAAACTGACACAAAAAATTACACTAAATATATACATGTAACAAGGAAACATCTTAATATCATTGATTTTCAATTCTTTTTAGAGGTTGACAGGATCTGGGGAAGACGAGGAAGGAACAGAGGGCGCATGCGCTAATTGTAACACCGGTTCATTCTGTGCAGCCTCATTTCTAGCAATTTTTGTCATTATTCTAATAACTGTCTTCACATTCTACTTAACGTGATGGGAATTTTATGTTATATCCTATTAAGATACCTTACTGCGAAAGAATACAATTGCTTGTTAAGATAATTTGTTTTCGAAAATTATAATTAAATGTTTTAGATTTAAAAAAAAAAAATAATAACTATAACATGTATTATGTATGAATTAATCGTTTTTGTTTCTTTATGAATTGTTTTCTCATGCTGTTACAATTTACAGTTATTATTATTTTTAATATCGTTTATTTAAGAAAAATATACTAGCCCTGTTGGCAATTTCATTCCAGGGTGCATTTAGTAAATTATTTTCGTAGATAATTTGTTCTCTGTGGAAATCCTTCAGTATAAAGAAAAAAACACACGAGACTATTTTCCAGACTTAATGCATTTAATGAGATGTTTACTAAGAGCTTTGATGCAAAATAGAATTAATCATGTTATGAAACAAGATTGGCATGCATTGAAAAGAACAAACGCAATATGTACTTTAGAACGCACAAAATAATTCAAAATATGCGTTGAAATAGATTACAGCATATGTTCTGAAGTATAAAAATAAGTTTCTTTACCGATTCTTGTGTAACAGATGTATTTCATGAAATACATCAAATACAAAAAAAGGTTTGTTTTATTGACAAAATCTAAATTATTTATGAGCAGCACGTGTATGTAATTTTTTTCCGAAAATCATCATTCTATAGAAGGTACTTCTTAAATTTTTCAACACCCTCTTTTTCTGGCTCAAGGAACTTAAAAGTGACGTAAGGCAAAATATATCTTATTCATTACCAACTGAAATAGCAGAATGGTACGTGATACCAGGGAGTTAGTATATAGGTCCCTGGTGATACAGTGTTTCAAAGCATGTTTATTCTGGACTTTTTAACCCCTATGTTATTGTAGAAAATAAGAAATCAACCTCAAAGTCTTAAGATGACTCATAACCCTGGGGACTGACGTGTCGCATTTCTCCTGCCTATTTTCAAAAGCGACACGCTGTCTTTCCGGATCGATTTTAAGATCCAATTTCAATAAGATTTCTTACTTTTGTGTCTTTGAATTAAATTTGTTTTTAACATTTACGCTAGTTAACTTTAAACTTCGTTGTAATTGAGACAAAGTACCTGTTAACTTGATAGCCCTAGTCTTTCTCATTCTAACCCAGCACTCAAAGAGACCAGAATCTTTCCTCCGAGCATCTTTTATCATCAGGTTACCGTAGACGTCAATGGTTATCCTTCCAGACGTCCTGTTTTCCAGTGCAAACGATGTCATATACTCTGAATTGTTTAACCAGTATATGATGTCGTCAAGACTGGCCCTGCAATAAAAATATGTCTAAATCTTCCCTTTCATCAATTCTTTTTTGTTAGAACGATCACCACAGCTTCATTAATCACTTTAAGATACGAATGTTTTCACTATCGAACATCAAATTTTTGGTCGATTTAGCAATGATACGATGGTGTAATGATGATGACGCTACGGCACGATAATGCGATGACAAAGGTACAATAGCGTTATGGTACGGTGATACGATGGCGATTGTGCGACGGCATGGTGGTACGATGACGATGAAGCTATGCTTGCTATCGCTCCATCGTGCTATCGAACCTTTGTCATACATGTAGCACCATCGCCATCCCACCGTCTTGTCATAATATTTACATTCTGTGTAATTATTACATTTGTACGTTTATAATTAATTTTTAATTTCTCCTCACAATATCCATTTGCGTCATTTAACTTTCCACGTCACAACGGCTCTTTCGTCTATTAATCACACCAGTTCTGAAAGGCGCTATTTAAATTCGGAACAAAGATTAACGAAATTGACAATTGAAATAATAAGAGAGAAAACTAGAGAATATAAATACAAGCACTTAATTCTTATTATTTGGATGTCGTCGGTCCTATAAGAGCACCTATCCGTGCCTACAAATTATCATACTGCGCTAATGCGCGGTATTCAATCTGTCAGCACGGCCAGGTGCTGTTATAGGACCGATGACATCCAAAGTTTAAGTAGCATCGCGTCATCATCATCATCGCACCATCGTGTCATCGACCCAAAATTCGATGTGCGATAGTAAACTATGTGGCCCTCTCCGGATTTCATAGGTACGGATGTTTGCATACTTGCTTTAATGAATGCTCATATTTGGAGCTAATTTTGACATCCTCTAGTTCAGCAACTGTGCATAGTGTCACATTTTGAAAATACCCGTGACTACGTTGAAGAAGACAGACGAGGAACAAACGTCAGATTATGATTTTCCTCCCCTATTCTAATTTAGATATACAACATACATCTCTATAATCTCCCTGCCCTTCACATTAGGTGTGACACGAATGCTTTCAAACTGTTTCCATGATTCTTCAACACCCTAATAAGGACACACTGTAACTTCATATATAACCCTATCCATCTATCTATATAAACCTATCCATGGCAACATAGTGCTTTGTAGCTATATCTTGTATCTTAAGGGGTCAAGTGGGAGACTGGTTTGTCAATGCAATAAGTAAATTGGTTACAGTTTTAGATATCAGATTCAGATATGAAGGTTCTTTGTAATGCAACACTTGCCCTTTGCATGTTAAAATCTTGGAGTGTCCCTCTTTGACAAATATCTCCTCAGGAGCTAAAATGTAAAAACAGAAATATATAAAATACAGTTTCCTCGCTACAGATACGATTTACTTTATGTTACAGAATGTAATTTATACAATCATGTTAAAACATGAAACATTTATTTTGAATTATTGATTACAAACCATATGACAATTACCTGAACTCCTCTTTTGTATGTCAATCGTCCATAAAAAAAAATGCAGGGAGAGATGTGGATATCAAAAATATCTATATTTACTGTATTGTTTCTAATGAGCATTAAGTCAAACAATGCAGATTCTTCCTTTTATTGATTTCTTATTCCCCAGAAACATGTAGTGTTGACAGCAAATTGACATTGTAAACTACACAATAATTGTGATTTTTGGGGATGGTGCAGGATGAAAAATCAATGTGTGGTCTTTTTTCTTCATTGATTCTCCATTTCGTTCATGTATATATTTCACCCATTTGCATGGAAACCATGCTTTGTGAGTGGAAATCAACGATATTTACAATACAATAGAGATTACCCTTAAAGAGCGAGTTTTCTGTTCAGGTTTGAAATTATTATGAAATAATTGAGACATAGTTTTCATTTGCTAACTTAAGTTTTTTTCCAAGCTTAAATTGTACTTTACAAATTGCTCACTGTATTATTACTTGGGGGGGGGGGGGGATGATTTTCTTTCATTTTGGTATGCCTAAAATAAAACCAAAATATGGTTAATTCCTTAATAAATTGACGTCACGCTATCTTTTACTCTAATTAGTTAACGTCCAATAAACTGATACAATTATGAAATCGGCGTTAATCTGTGTACAATAATTATATAAAAACAATTTTATGCAATTTGTTCTGCTGTTTGGTGGAGTTCAAGCTCACTTGTTAACAATTTAGGAGCACGATTTTAATCTATAAATATGAAACTGAAAATTGCCTATTTTGAACATTCGAGTTCAAGTACCATGTTTAAAGGAAAGCAAATTCTAAGTAAATTGCAAAAAATTGTTATTGCCCCAAGAACAAGGAGACCTAAAAGTGTAATTGTTGCATGTACACATCAAGTAAAATACTGCTTTTTTGGTCGATTATCTGGTTAAATTATCTTACATATTCAAGAAAACACCCGAAGTGTCTTCATCTGTGAAAATTACGTTACCTTTCTCATCGAGTCCACGAAACTGCATGTCGGTTGGACTCAATCTGGAGAATTTTACGGAAGCTGTAAGAAAAAGAATATAAAGAAAAAAAGATCGTTAAGAACATGTACATTGTTAACTTTTGCAACCAATAAGAGGGAAAAAAAAAAAATAGAAACACTATGTCGAAATGATTAAATCTGGAACCCGACGATAAAAAACAGACTGTCTAGTCTGTCTTATTGGACCTTAATAACCAGTATGGTGCTCAAATTGAGCGCTCAAATGTCCCATTTCATTTACTGCCAACTTTTCAGTTTTTTTTTTTACATACATTGTTTTTCAAATTATTAGTATATTCAAAAATTATTTCTATATTTATCATCAGTCAGTGATTTGAAATTTGGGATATATAATTGTCCCATACAAAAGTTATTTATATACAAAAATTAAATAAAAATATTAATTTTTTAACACCTAATAGCAGTAGTTCGCTGAATATCTGGCTTACAAAGCCTTAAAGGGCATTACTTCATTTATGTGTCATTGTTGTGAATCAAATGGTCACAGTAGTTCAAAATCAATAATATCAAAATGTACAACTTTTCAACACTTTATACAACCATAACAAATTAAAGTCAAGGCTTTTTAACATCACATTTTCAATACAAGAGGCCCATGGGCTACATCGCTCACCTGAGCACATTGGCTAGGAAGAAGCAGAAATCAGTTCAGTTTTGAAAGGGGTAGGGCGGGGGGAAAACAGGTTTACACTACCTCAGGATGCTTCCATATCAATATTACTAATCATGGCTTTGCTGTTCTTCAACAGAAGAATTTTAAAGATTTTTCCCTATGTATTCCTATGTAAAACTCTGATCGCTCATTGTGGTCCCACTAAATTTGAATCTACACAACCTGAGGTTGCTTCTATAATAATATGACTATTAAATCATGGTTTTGCTGTTCTTGTCAATTTTTTTTTCAAGATGATTGCTATATAATCTTATGCATAAGTTTTGATCCTCTGTTGTGCCCCCATCCCCCGATTCAATATATCCCTTTGAACTCGAAATAAAAGATACCAGAGTATAACACATCTGTATCATATTTGGAAATTTCACTAGAAAAAGTCGTTAATGGTAACCTAACAAAACGTGATGACTCTTCAACTTCCCTTATTTATATAGCAATATACCATTTTCACCTACAAATGGAGTTTATTTATGCCTCCTAATTGATGCGATGTGCAAGATAATGCGCTACATACGAACAGTTTCTAAATAGCGGCAAGTTATTGACAAATATATTGAAGAAACAAGAATATCAACATCTTGTTTAGAGTCAACATTTCACAAATTCAATGGTCGATACAATGACCTTGTCAGCAAATACAATCTATCATTAAGTCGAATGTTGACTGACGTTTTTCATATAAATTGTCAGCCATGATTTTTACACTGATTTCCGTTTGCCCAATCACGACAAGGAGCACATGAAGGATTTGACCGATCGACAGGGGATGCATACTCCTCCATGGCACCTGATCCCACCTCTGATGTTTTAAGAGGTCCGTGTTTGCTCTGCTCCAAATTTGTATGGTTTCAATGGACTTTTGAGCTTGATTACTGTTTATCATCATTTCATTATATTTTATTTTAATCAGATTTAAAATTACTATGGCTGCTCAATTATGTGTTTATTGATGTACCTGTGTTTGCAACAAATCTTACATTTAGAGTGTAATTTTTGAGTAGTACTGTCAATTACACACATAGTATTCTCACTTATCTTCAAGTCTGTATTTAATATTGAATGAAAATAAAGAAATATGCCCAAACGTACAGTTATCTTTGCACGTTGCAGTACACTCCCCAATCTGAATCTCGTCCGCTCTCGTGATGAACGACTCGCCAAAGTAGTCAAACATAGTAGATCTACAAGGAATTCCCTTCTTAAAGAATTTAAGGGCGTAATATATATATGCTGGATCTATGTATTGTTCAGGATTTATAAGCTGTACAGTACAAACACCTGAAAAATAAATTTCAAAAGTGAATTATCTTTACCAGTAATTAATCTCTTCAGTCTAACTAGTGTAATTATAGTTTCTTTTTTCAGTAATAAATTGTATGTAAACCAGAGAATAACATTTATTTATTATTATTTATGTCTCTGGTATATCTACAAAACCGTACATATAAAATCATTCACATTTGAATCTTATTCGCAAAACTGCGTCTGGTAAACTCATTGTTCAAAACTGTGATACTGTTTTAGATGTTTTCGAAAGTTTACAATTATGATAAAAGATTACCATGCCTCTTTCTTTCGCCATGTTTTCCACACACAGAGCAAGAGCTCCATTCTTTCCAGTCCGTGTAAAACCTCATATTGTATGTACCTGAAAGAAAAAACGAGCGAAACATAGTTCTCTCTCTCGCTCTCATTTCGAATACGAAGAATATATGTACATATAGCGTTAAGCATGTGCGTGCACTTATCATCGCACTACAATCATTTCTGCAAGAATAGAAAAGATTACATGTATTTCATAATTCCTGCAAGAGTAAAAAATACCATTATACTAGATTTATACCATCCTCTTCTAATACAATATAGATACCTTACACATTGATTTTGTGATACGTAAAGTGTATTCGTATTAGCTAGTATACAGTTTTTGATTTATATAATGTACATGTACTTTTAAGTAAGTCATCATGTACATCATTTTTGTAACTGTTTACTATGATAAGACTTGCATGTACGTCAAAGGTAAATCTTAAACGATATTAGTATCTCTATCTATATACATGTTTTACGTAAGTAAATTATACTCTAAACTTACTTTTCTCTTCCTCGGGCTCGAAACTGTCTATATAAGTGACTGTTTTGCAAAGAGAAAAACAGACAAAAAAAATAATTTTCTTTCCATCAACAATTTACACATTTAAAACCATTAATTTTGTCCCTTTTTTATTAGATATACTACTTACGCCGTCTTGCTGGAATTTTTGAGGTTCTTATAACTGAAACAAATAATAATAATAAGTCGATAATTGTATGAATTACATTATTTACTAGCATTTTATTCTTTATTCCAAGGTTATATCAGTATAATAATGCGTAGCAAGGGATTCTTTGACGAAAGCGTTCTCAAATTATTTACCTCGAAGAGAAAATGATAATTTCTAAATTTTAAAATAAGGATTTTTTTCCCTTCTGTATTATGCATATTTCTGTGAAATCATCAGAGAACAAGAGGTCCATGGGACACATCGTTCACCTGAACACTGTGGCTAGGAAAAAAAAATCAAAAATCAGTTCAGCATTGAAAAGCTTAAGTGGTCCCGACATACCCCTCAAAGGGAGGGGGGTATGATTTGAATAAACTCGAATCTACACTAACTAAGGATGATTACATATTTCTTTCACTAACTGTTGCTTTTTTCCTATCAGTTTGAACTTTCATTGTGGTCCCACCCTACCCCCGGGGTCAAGATTTGAACAAATCTGAATATGCACTACCTGAGTACGCTTCCATATAAATATAAATATGACCAATCATGACTTTGCTGTTCTTGAAAAGATTTCTATAAAAATTCCTATGTATTCCTATGTATAACTTTGCTCGTCCATTGTGGCCCAACCCTACCCCTAGGGGTCATGATTTGAACAAACTTAAATCTACATGTTTACCTGAGGATACCTCAGAATAGAGAATAACCAATCATGGCTTTGCTGTTCTTGAGAAGAAGATTTTCCCTATTATATAATCATATGTAAATTTTTGCTCGTCCACTGTGGTCCCACCTTACCCGGGGGTTATGATTTGAACAAACTTGAATCTACACTACCTGAGGATACTTCCAAATAGATAATAACCAATCATGGCTTTGCTGTTCTTGAGAACAAGAATTTTCCTATATACTCCTATGTAAATTTTTGCTCGTCTACTGTGGCCCCACCCTACCCCCGGGGTCATGATTTGAACAGAATTGAATCTACACTACCTGAGGATGCTACCCAAAAGATAATAACCAATCATGGCTTTGCTGTTCTTGAGAACAAGATTGTTTTCTTTATACACCTAGTATGTTGAGCGTCCATTGTGGCCCCACTCTACCCCCGGGGGTCGTGATTTGAACAAATTTAAATCTACATTACATGAGGATGCTTCCATTTAAATATGACCAATCATGGATTTGCTGTTTTTGAGAACAAGATTTGCAAATATTTTTTCTATATATATTCTTATGTAAAACTTTGATCGTCCATTGTGACCCCACCCTACCCCCGGGGGTCATGATTTGAACAAATTTGAATCTAAACTACCTGAGGATGATTCCATATGAATTTCATCTTTCCTGGCCCAGTGGTTCTTGAGAAGATTTTTTTTTACAAATGTTATTAATTTTTCACTATATGTAATTATCTCCCCTTGGAAAAGTGCATGGTCTTTCATTTTAACAAACTTGAATCCCCTTCACCCAATGATACTTTCTGGCAAGTTAGGCTGAAATTGGCAAAGTGGTTCTTGAGAAGAAGTCAAAAATGTGAAAAGTTTACAGACAGACGGATGCCGGACAAAATGTGATCAGAAAAGCTCACTTGAGCCTTCGGTTCAGGTGAGCTAAAAATTTAATCATAGTCCACGTCATGACAATTTTGGCGAAATTTCTCTTCATGTTCAACTTTCATAATTCTAGTAACTGTGACAAAATGCTTACATACAAAAAGTCGTTGAGATTACTAGTAAACACTCTGGAAGGAGACTTTTCTGTGTTTTCATCATTTTGTGTGAATTACACGATTGAGCTTTCTAAAATATTTAATTTTGGCATATTCAAGTGATATTTTTAATTAAATACTGTTTATATATTCCCTATATGTTCCTACATACTCACCGTCTACATGGTAGTACAATCTGAAGGTAATGTTAGAAATGTCTGCCAAAAACATCTTTTTCATTCCCTGAGCGTCCATCTCTTCCTCTATCAGCTGATCTTGTGTTGCAATAATGCAGAAATATGTGTCTGCATCAGCTGAAATAATGTAAGGCATCAATAAACACGGTATCGAAAAAGAAATGTTATTACTGGTATCATTAGGGTGATTTGTCATTTCCCCCCTCTCTGATAGCCGCAGGATTTCACCATGTAAGTAATCATGCAGCCGAATATCTCTTTGATACTTAGATATCACTGTAGAATGCGAAGGACAGAACGAGTTGTCCAACTATCGAAGGAATATCGATGAATGAACCTTTTGTTGGAATTCTTACAACACTTTGTGTTGCATTTCTTACACCTTTTTCTCTACAACAATTTTTTACTATGTATAAAATGAAAAAAAAATCTTGTCATAAGCCAAAAATTCAGGAATCGTACCATGAGTGACGTTCATGATGACGAGGCTATGATCCATGGTGAATCTGACGTGATTCAGCGCCTCCACATCGTGCGTGTCTTCCTCTACTGTCTGTATGATGTATTTCCCTGTGGCAGTGCTTTGGCGGATCAGGCGCTTCCATTCAATTATCCCGCGGTATTCTTTAACATCCCCGCTGTTGGAAATTCAAAGCTTATTAATGAGAGATCATGATTGCTTTTTTGTTTTTATGTATTTCATTTTCCTTCAGTTTTTTGGTTTTGTTTTGTTTTGTTTTGTTTTTTTTTTTCATTTAGATCTATGGAAATTCGAACTCCACAAATACCACTTTTTAAACAGAATAATTCTTGCCGAGAAATTTTTCCTCAGAAAAGTTTTGTTTAACAATAATGAGAACTTTACTCTAAATACTTAATTCACAAATTGAATACGATTTTTATATGTTTGAAGCTATAGGCATTCTGCACGCCTTGTTCACCCATACACTTTTGGAAGAAGTACTTCTAGAGAAAAGATTTAGAGGGAAATATTACTTTTTGTGGGTAACAACACTGACAAAAATCAGCAAACTTAAGTACATGCGCGGATCTAAGGGGGGGGGGGGGGTTCGGGATCCCCCTCCTGGAATTTGCAGATTTAGTAAAAGTATACACTGGAGCAAATAAAAAATGACTTCGTCCCCCATCTTAGAAAACGTGGACCCCACCACCACCACCACGAAATAGGTTCTCTTTACGATTTTTTTTCACGATTTCTTCTTCTTTTTTTTCCTTTCTTCTTATCTGTCTGTCTTTTTTTTTTCTTTTTTTTTATTTTGCTTGTCAAGAAATTTTTTGGGTTTGATGTTTGATACGTCTGTGAAAGGAATTTAGGTTTTTTTTTAGCTTGTCAAGAAATTTTTTGATTGGGGTGGACTCCCCCTGAAAAAAATTCCTGGATTCGCATCTGAAGTCATCGTCGGAAACCCACGGTCGGTCTCGCTAATCTCTTACTCACGGGAGGTAAGAGAAGCGAGACCGACCGTGGGTTACCGACGATGGCCTGAAGTATCAATAAAAAGTAGTATATGTAACTCGAACACTTATACTAAGACTAAAATTAAATAAAGGTTAACACACTAACAAGAACAGACAGACGGGCAACACCTTACGGACACAACACTGTGCCTGGACTCTTCTGACTTTCGGTCCTCTGGGTTGACGGATTAAGACAAATATAGAGATTTAAAAACAAAACAAGTCACTAAACCAACGCAATTTTTTCATGATGAAGTAATGATAAATAACACGAAGAAAACAAAAACAGAATAACTTTATAAACATTGAATCACAGAATACTGTACTACCAAAAATGGCACATCAATTTAACGTTTTCCCCAGGTTCAAACACGTAGGCCAACTGGATAGGTTTGTTTTGGCTCTCGGTAACTATTTTATTGAGTTTCTTATCACATTCTGGCTTTTCTCGGACTGGAAAAAATCAAACAATTTACTTGCGACAGTATAATTATTTTTCACTGACTTTTCAGTCATAACTATTATGATCCTCTTCGAAGAAGGGAGGGCATATTGCTTTGCTGCTGTCTGTCGGTCGGTAGGTCTGTCGGTCGGTCCACCAACAGTTTCCGTTCATTTTCTTCGCAGAAGTTGCACATACTGAAATGAAATTTGGTATACAGATTTATCATAAGAATATCTATGTCAAGTTCTGTTTTGGGTGTGATCGAGCAATTTTTGACAGGAGTTATGCCCCTTGGACTTAGAAAAATTCATATTATTTGCAGGTTCTGTTCATTTTCTTCGCAGAGGTTGTATATACTGAAAAGAAATTTGGGATACAGATTTATCTTAAGAATATCTAGGTCAAGTTCTGTTTTGGGTACAATCGAGCAATTTTTGACAGAGTTATGCCCCTTGGACTTAGAAAAATTCCAATTATTGGGGGGGGGGGGGGGGATAAGTGTTTCACAAACATCTCTTGTTAATAAAAGTAACAAAAATCTTTCGTACACTTACTTTAAGAATCCTTGCTTTAATTGTGACAAGTTTGGGGGGGGGGATCACTTCAAGTCACGTACTGAATTTAATATCTAGAATAAATAGGCACATTTTCTATAGCAGGCTTACTGACAGGTTTATTATCGTCCCTGACTCCCAGTCTGTCCGTCCGTTCTCTCACACATTCTTGTTCATTGAATTCTTCATACAACTGTACATTGTTAAGAAGTAGCTGAAAATCTTAAACATGACTAGTCAAGTGATTTTCGTTTCAACGGTTCTAAAAGAGAGTGATTCAAGAATTTGTCGTTGGAGCTTCTCATCAAAAAAGCAAACTATCAAAGTTTGAAAGCATGATTCCTTTTGCTAGAGTAATATTAGATATTTATGGAACAGGTCCAAATTAACTGTAGTAAGCCATATCTTGATTAATCTTACAATGATCTAAGATGTGTACTAACCAGACTTGCTTCTAGTGGTGCATGTGACATTTTTCTGATTGAGTGGTCAGTTAAATGTTTTTGATTTTTTTCCAATCCTAGGTATTGCTCATACATAATTCATACCTTGACATAGAAGTTGCTCTTTTTTTGGATGCATATTAGTTAAAAGACATCTCTCGGATCATGCACATAACCTATATTTTCTAAGTAACTGAATAGCTTCTTAATTTTGGATATTACTGAGTGCAATATTAAGTAAAAAATAAAGATTGATCGAAAAAATTGTCGACACTAAGTCACTAAGTGAATATTTTGATAAAAACATTTCAGGCAATGTACACTCACCTTCTAGATTTGTATCAAATATGTCTCTCTTAAATCTTTTTTGAGATTCCGGAGGTCTAGTGTCGTAAGAAGCACGTTTATTTCTGTCAACCATTTCAAACGGTGGCTTTTCCCGAAAATCTGTTTTAAAGAATTTTTTTTTAAAATCTATATCGAAGAATATTTGAAGTCACAGCTACAAATGGCAACAGTAGAAAAATTGAATTCATAAAGTTCACTTCTTGGATATAACACAGAAATAGGAAGTTTTATCAAGGAAAAAACGGGGAAAATATTCCACACCCTCATAAACAATTTTTAGTAGAGGATGGAATTATTTTTCCGTTATTTTATTTTTTACCTATAAAAGTTCAAACTCTTTTAAATATACTTATCTTCATTTGAATGAGGTTTAAAGGAGAATTTTGTTGTTGTTGATTTATTCAATAAAATAATCAACTCCTGATAAAATTAAAGCATCACCCTTTTATCTGTACACAAGTAAATTTCAATAACCCATGATGCAAAGTTAGGTGGAAATAAGCCTTTTGGTTTTCAGAGAGAGAGAGAGAGAGAGAGAGAGAGAGAGAGAGTCCTTTCTATCAATGAGACTTTAGCACTGCTGAGATCAGAAGTAATCTGCTCCCTGCATGTCTTACCCTCTTCTGTCAGGTCCTCCTCGAAGTACTTCACAGGCGATCCGTCTTCATAGTCAATTCTTACCTTGACATGGACTGTCGTGACAAAACCACAGACTGGAAAGATGACAGTCATATATTCAAAGAGATAGAGATACACTTTCAATCACATGATCAAGCAAGTATTGCAGGTTTCTCAACATTTGCATTTTGCTTTAGAAAAAGGCTCCCAGTCGATTTAAAATAATGTGTAGATAATTAGAACTTTGCCACTGATGATAAGTTGGCGAACACTTACATGAAAGGTGCATTAACATTTACTAAAGAATTTTGCAATCTTCCTGACACACTAAACTAGAGGTTGGCATTTAACTTTTCAGTTTGTCGTAAAATAATTAAAATACATGTAGATGGTAGATGATATATTCCAATGCTTTCGGTTTTTCAGAAGAGATTTTTCCAGATGAAAATTGTTTAATCATTTAATAGGTTATTTGATATTGTGATGTTGTCCTACGGACCCGGTTTGGTTGAAGTTATCGTTATCACGAGACACAGTTTGATTGTATTCCATAACTATTTATTTATATCCAAATGAACTTATGTGGATTTTTTGAAACGTGATTAAAATGTTTACGCTTCGGAGGGGGGGGGGGGGGAATGATACAGGTAAAAAGCATCATCCTGATTTTCATTAATTACTTTCTCCCATGACAATATTTAAAATACACAATTACTTTTGTACAAAGTCCCTTGGTCAACGTTGTGTTGATGCTATGTATAGTCAAACTACTACTAGTACACCAAACGCTTCATTGCCAACCAACACATTCTGTTACGTTATCAATCGAACTTGGACAGGCCAACTCAAACTGATATATCAATTAAAATATGTAAACTTACGTAGGACAGACTGTAATAATAAATAAAAGATTCGTCGTCTCATTTCTCAACATATGACGCCAACATGACGTCAAATTCAACTTTTGTTAATGTCGAACCCGATGCGTGATCGCAACGTTTTACCTTAGGCCAAAAAAAATAATAGTCTTGTTTCCTGCTACCCGACCTACCCTATTTTTTGCACCCGACCCTAAAGTTTTTTTTAAGTTTTGGAAGAAAAAAAATCAAGAATTTCCGGAATTTCTTTGTTCTGTCATGGTAATTGTTTTCTGTGTTAACACAAAACAAGCATTTCATGAAATTCTTGTTTTAAATATGGACTTTCATAAAATACCACTTGAGTTGTGCATAAAAAGACAAGAAATTTAATTTTGAAAGACAATATTGACCCCTGACGTGTTTAATTTTATCTTTTATTAGTTCATATCCAAAAAATGTTGTCAAAAAAAAAAATATAAATATAAAATAAAATAATTTTCCTACCTACCTACCCTATTTTTTTCAGGCTGGTAGCAGGAAACAAGACTATTATTTTTTTTGGCCTTACGGACTAGGTGTCTATATGTAGCATCATTTATGGTATTTTTGAAATATTCATAACAGTTGGTTCGATTCCCATCATTTTTCTAAAGGAGATGGGCGAACAAGGCGTGCAAAATGCCTATAGCTTCAAATGTATAAAAGTCATATTGTGAATTTAGTATTTAGATGAAAGTTCTTATCATTGATATCATAGGTTTAAAATTATGACAAACGAAACTTTTCTGCATAAAATTCTTCCGGCAAAAAAATAATTCCATGATTTAAAAAAAGTGGAATTGGAAGTCTTGGGGTTCAAACCCAAGCAATAAAAACCCCGAGTATCAATTTTCCTTTCGAGATTAATGATATGACCCTTGACTGAAGTCTGAATGGTCTAGGAAAGATAAGAATGTTGACATACAAGTATAGTGGGTATTTGTTCCACGCTTTTGTTAGCTGTAGAATGGATATTTTTATGCATACTTTTAGCACAACCTTTCAAAAAAAAAAAATGGAGGGAAAACCCACTGGAAAAATTGTGTATTTAGTATGAAGACTTCATCATTTTTACCCTCTTTGGTGTAATGTCTGCCATTTCATACACGAATACATATAATTTCAATCTTTGTGAGATTTTTGCAATTTGTGTTATAAAGTACCTACACATTATAATGTGAAATGAAATATCAGAGAAAATGTTGTCATCACCACTGTTATTTAATTTTTCACTTTCTTAATTGTCACATAATAGGCAATTTGTTGCATCTTGTTCACCAATCTTCTTACAAGTGACTAAGCCATGTAAGCTCTGTAAGAATATAGACCTGTCAATTTGGCTAGCTAATTCATTTGAATAATTTTTTTGCATTTCAAAATTACACTTAATTGCAAGAACTAAGTCTTGACAACAGAGTAATATTTCTTTTACATCTATGAAGATATTGTATATTCATACACTCCCCATGCTCCACTACAAATTCGCCATCACAAAGCTTTAACTTACTTATTTCATGTGGCTATTTTATTACTTTCTTCTTCATCAAAATTAAAGCACATTACATAAATCAAATACAAATACATTGTATAAAAAGCCAACATATTGTATTAATCTGGATATTACAAACATTAAGCTTTAACATATCCATGAAATGGCGGTTAGAATAACAAGGTGATAGTACATCACTTTGATAACAAAAAACAATTCTAAAATAACAAAAAAACCTGGTAACAATTACATGTTCATTGTATATTTGCATACAAATGAAATGTAAAAAAAGGTTCAAAGCACACTGAACACAAGACATGAGTTTACAGTATTGGTGTCTAAGATCAAACTCTTCTTGATAACATTTCTATAACTGGAGTTGATACACAGATTAGTGTTATTAATCCTGCAAATAATTACCATTCATTTGTTATGGGAAAGTTTTACGAGCCCACAACATCTTAAAAGTAAATCTGAAAAATGCATCATTTTTTAGCTGTAAAAGGAGGAATGGGGCAAAAAAATCAAAAGAATATACATGTATACCAAGATTTTAAATTTAAATTTGCTATGACTGAAAATTCAAGTTTTACAAAATGCAAATTTTAAAAATATGGATGAAAATGACTCATAAATAAAAACCTCATACTCACACATGTGATCAAATTTGTTGATTTCTTATCATCTCTTTCCTTCTACTTACAATGTAGTAATTTTCAAACTTTGGGAGGGGGTAATTATAGTACCTAAAGATACATGTGATTTGTTCTTTCCAGTACATACCTTAAAAAAAAATCTTGTGAGACAAAAATCATACTTTTTCCCAACCTGTATCACATTATAGACATGTATCAAAATATTTTTTGTGATAATGAAAATTTGTTACATTAAATTGCAAAAAGCTGATTAATTACAAACAAGTTTTTTTTTTAACCACAAGTACAATATACATAAAAGTATTCAGAATAGCTCATTTCTTTTATCCAAACCTTCATAAATTAAACACAGAAAAAAGGAAAGAATGAATGAATGGATAGTTAAAAAAAACCTTTCAAGTATACATACAGCTGCAAATATTTTCATGTATATCACACAAAGATAAGAATTCACTTGTATTTAAAAATCAAATTTACATTCGATTCTTACAATGTTTTAGAATGTAAGGTATACAATATTATAAACAAAATCAACTTGTGTAATTAAAATGTTTTCAGTGGTTGTAGATGAACATAACATAAATATGAAAGACTTGTACTTTAATAGATCAATAACCAAAAATACTGAATACTGAGTTTCACGTACTTGACCACATAAATTTTTTCAAAGTTCAAAAAAATCTATGGTACATGTATGTATTAATTACTGTGATCAAGTTGTTTTTTATTATTTCAGAAGAAACATATACATGTACATGTACATGTTAAGCATTTTAAGGAACTCAACCAAAAGTCTCCTGAGATGCATACACAATGTAGAGAAATCCATCTTCATCTTTTTCTTGTTCGTACACTTCTGCGATTGGTGTTGTGTTACTGACCATGTTACGGTTGTTGACAATCAGGTAGAAAGCTTGAGAGGGATGCAACTGCAGTCGCCTCCTGTGTATTAAATCAAAAAGTGAAATTAGAAACGGTTGAGCGGCATTTAATTTTCCTGTAAAGCAGAATCTGCAATGTGGCTGTAGCTCCATTGCTTGAACTTTATTATAACAGTCTACATGAAAATGAGCTCTTAAACTTTATTTTTTATTATTTTTTATTTATGCCCCCATATTCGAAGATTTGGGGGCATATAGTTTTTGCCCTGTCTGTCCATCTGTCTGTCTGTTTTTCTGTTTCTTAAGGCAAAAACTTTTACCTTGCCCATAACTTTTGATTGGTTTAAGCTATGGCTTTCATATTTCACATGTGTATTCCTTATGACAAGACCTTTCTTTGGGTACCACCATAATTGACCTTTTGACCTGGACCTTGGAGTTTGACCCAGTTTTGCAAAATTTTACCCAACAGTTGGTGCTAGGATTTTCATACTTCACATATGTAATCCTTGTAACAAGACCTTCCTTTGAATTGCAAGAATTTCGACCCCTTGACCTTGACGTTTGACCTACTTTTGAAAAACTTTAACCTTGGCCATTACTTTTGAACAGTTGGTGCTAGGGCTGTCATATTTCACATATGTAATCCTTGTGACAAGACTTTACTTTGGATACCAACAACTTTGACCTTTTGACCTTGACCTTGGACTTTGACCTAACTTTTGAAAAACTTTAACCTTAGCCATTACTTTTGAACAGTTGGTGCTAGAGCTTTCACACTTCACATATGTAATCCTTGTGACAAGACCTTACTTTAGATACCAAAAACTTTAACCTTTTGACGTTTGACCTACTTTTGAAAATCTTTAACCTTGGCATAGCTTTTGAATGGATGGTGCTAGGGCTTTAACATTTCACATGTGTGTTTCTTGTGAGAAGACCTTTTCTTGAGCACCATTAATTTTGACCATTTGACCATGACCTTGATGTTTGACTCACTTTTGAAAACTTAATCCTTTTCAATATCTTTTCAATGGTTGCTGCTAGGGTTTTCATATTTCATAGATTTAATCTTAGAGACAAGACTTTACTTTGGGTACCAACATATTTGATTTGCATTTGAGAAAGTTTAACCTTTGCTATAAGTTGCCATACGGGGGTATCAGTGTTTCACAAACACATCTTGTTGAATCTGAAATTTCCTTGAAACATGGAAAAACTTTCTTCGATGTAGCCGTATAGTAGGGAGAAAATTTTTTTTTTACAATTTACAATAAGTTTTAATGCAATTTGGAATATTGAAGAGGTTTTATTTCAATCTTTAAAGTGGCCAAAACGAAGACCTATTAGTGGTTGTATTCTGCATTACTTTGACATTTATACTCTTGATATTTTTCAAAAAGTCTTCAAATTCCTGTTTAAATCCTTGAGCCTTACTCTTTTTGACATGAGTGGTTATGACTTGCCGAATATTAAATGTACACTTTGTAGAGATTCATAGATATTAAATATTTTAGCATTGTTTTTAGCATTATTAATATGTGTGTGGTTTTTTTTTTACAGAGCTGGGGAATTTTCTTCTTAATTAACTCATTTTAACCTAAAGTAAAACTGACAAATTCACAATCTTCTTGCATACCTACATGACCTGGCCAATTATACTCAGAGGAAGTTTCTTTTTGGCTATCTCCAATAATGTGGGAGTAGTTCTTATGAAAAGGGATGGCAAAAAATGAATGCATTAAACTACATTTATCTGAATTTGTTCTCTGAAGTACATATGATCAACAATACAGGCACTTTGCTGTACTTAATATATACTTCATGTTATAAGTATTCTACTATGTTATCACAAAGAACAAAGAGATGCTGCAACCATTATTCTCCAAAAAATCACAAACGTCATCAACAAACCATCAATAACTTTAAATGGGTTTCCCTTATTTTTACTTTTCTCAATAGGAAAAGGATCAATGCATTTTTTGATTGTGATACTAACTGGTATGAAAAAAGTTTTCTTGGGATTCAGATTACCTCTTTATCTTTTGAATGCGTAAAGTGCAAATGAAGAAGAAGTAGCAATAAACTGTGATATAAAAAGGCATATATGTAGGAGGTTAAAATTTGCCTTAGCAGAAGAGAAATAATTCCTGCAGCAGAGGAATTGTTGGAAAATATACATGTATACTCCTCAGCCTTGAGATTTTGTTGGACGTAAATAATTCCTCCGCCGCAGGAATTATTTCTTAAACCTCATACTTTCAGAAACATGTAATTATAAACTACTTACATAATACATCACTTTTATTTTCAAACTAGAAAACACAAGGGTCATACTTTTTGTCAAAAAAATATTTCTACATGCAAAAAAAAGGTCAGGTTTCCGGATAATTTACTGAAAGTAAATTGAAAGAATAATGAATCTTACTTAGGAAGAAATAAAGAAGAGTCAATTATATAACCAACATACCTGATAATTTTGAGGAGTTCACTCATATTGACATTATCTGGCACCAGGAATTTGGTTTTGTCTAGCATTGGTAGATATTTTTCTCCATGGTATCGTTCTATTATTACCTGTACAAATAAAAAAAATTATTATCATATATTTCTAGATTTTACTTTATAATTTTTTTCAGATTACTAGAAAATCCAACAAAAAAAAAAAATTTAATATAGTTATGCATGACTGCAAATGTAAAATATTAAAATGATTAGACTGAATTATTACCTAACCTACTAAACCTACTATAAATTGTAATTAGGCATTTTGAACTGTTTTCTGATTCATTTTAATGTTTTTTGCATATCATGAAACAGTCAAACTCTTTACCCAGTCACGGTATAAACTTATTTCATGACTACAATGGGAACAGTCAAACTGATGACCCGAGATAGTGGGGAAGACCCATATAAATATATATTCAATTTAATATCATTACAGAGAAGAGGCCAAGAACACCTTTTCTGAAGGTAATTTGGGGAAAATGTTGGCCCCTTTCACTCAATATAGTTCTCTACCTTAAATTCTGACTCAGCATGTTATATTCAAAGTTTCAAACCTTCAAGTCATCATTATGTTATTTACTAAACAATACATTATTACATTCATTTATCAGTGCATTTTAATATTACCCCATTAATTTTTCTGATTTTACACCAATCAGTGTGAGAATTTGATAAATATTCATCTTGTTTAGTTTGGTTTCAAGAAATGTTTCAAATTGTTGTATTTTAAAAGAGGTATTTTAAAATCTGTTGATTATTATGTCTATACCATTTAATGGTATACATAATATGGTAATTACTTAAAGAAATTATATAGTAGATTAGGTAATAAAACACTTTTTTCATGACAACTTGGGAAACAGGCAAACTGTTGCCAATTGAAAATGGGGAAAACCTGGGAAACTGTTGCCCTTGGCCTTTGACCTCGGGCAACAATTTCCCAGGTCTTCCCCATTACCTTGGGACAACAGTTTGGCTGCTCTCCTTGTAGTAATGAAATAAGTGTATATTGATATGTATTTAAAACTTCTCACTCTCTGTTTTCTTTAAAAAAAAATGACATGATTAAATAAATTATGATCTAATTTTGGATTTAACACTTAACAGATAATTAATATAAGTCTGTCCCACATAAGAGCTTCCACCATATTTTAAATGATATAAAAAAAAAAAATTGACTTGTTCTCACAGAAATTATCATTTAGAATTTAAGTCTAATCATTTTCTTACCAGTTTTAGCCAAAATTTATGCGTGCAACTTGAAACAAACATGTACTGACATGATTTTTCAAAGTCTATCATGTCTATGGAAATTGTTGTCAAACGAGACAGGAAGTTGTACTTATTTCCAGAATTTATTTGAGTGTGACAAATATGTGTACTACGTCATTGACAATAAATGATGGAAAATCTCAAATAATGATGGATCCCTTTCCAGAGTAGCAGTTAATTTTTGCAATGTTAAATCCCAATAGACTTTGAATTTGCTGTCATGTCAATATACTTGTTGAATTTGATAAAATTCCTATTAAAGTAGAAATATTGCCATTTGGAAAAAAATGATCTAATTTGAAAGCCTAAGGTATTTAATGTATTTTGAAATAGTATGGAAAAAGTGTTGTCTTTGGTACCATGGGACAGACTATAGAAATTTTACATTTTATTCTGTCAACATACCGGGATTTTGTCTGAATGCTGTGTGCGAATTGATTCAACATCTTTGATCCTCTGGGCTGAAATTTAAAAAAAAACATGCTTAATCCGAAAATGTTTATGCGTGATCATTACAGTCAGACAATAGGTCATTTATCATGATTTATGCATGTTATTAACTCAAACCATGTATATACCTATATGAATTAAATGACATTTACATCTCTGTATGATATAGTTTACACTCTTATTACTTTAAATAATATTGAAACTTAATAAACAGATTCAAATTTTATTAAAAATTAATTGGAAAAACAAAGTTATAAGATTACTGTGCTATCAATAAACCAGTGGTCTACAACTTTTAGATATTTTGAGTTCTCGAGATTGTCCCTCTGAGTTTTTGTAGTCAAACACTAAAAGAAATGTAAAAGGCTTTTTCCAGTAACATCTATACTGCTCTATATTGCTCTTTTGCAGGGTAAATTATTATACAGTTGAACTTAGGTATCTTGAACACTGATATCTCAAATACCATGGATATGTTGAACATGTTGAAGTGATCATGACTTGGAAGTGATCCAACCCACTTATTTTTTTAAGTATTTTACCCTTGATACGCCCCCCTTGATATGTCAAATCCTTGGATATCTCGAAGTTTTTTCTCTGTCCCATCGAGTTTGAGATCACAAGGTTTGACTGAAGTTTGTTGATTATGTAAGAAATTTTGTTTAATAAACATGTTAAATGTCATTTAATTTTCTGCCAAATAAAACTACACCAAAATGTTATTGATTTGCCCTGCAAAAGAGCAGTACCACAGTTTACAATGATGTAAATTACATCATGAAACGTTTGATACTGATAACTTGATTTCATCATGTTCTTGTACATGTATAATTATGCACTTTTGTCTGTTTATGTTCATTATAAACATTTTTCTATTGTTACACATAGTAACAGTGTTTTATGTAATACAACCCGAATGGCATATATCATACATATTAAATAATAATAAATGTAGAAAAAATCTGCAAGAATCTACCAAAAATAAATTTATGAGTCATCTGTAGTGTATTACATATTTATGATCATGTTTATATTTCCACTCGCTCACAAGTTCATCAGGATGATATAGTTATCCATAGCTTAATTTATGGAGTTTAATATACTCACTTAACGATCTTCTTTCCTTGAAAGGCTTTTGCATCTCCATAATAATTCAGACTGGTAAATAATGCGTTGTTTACAAATAAAAATAAAATTTCCCCTCCGTTTCCGATTTTATTTTGGCATCCCGATCCCGATGCAAATGGTGCCCTATTTTTTTTTTTCGAGAGAGAGATAGATAACCAAATCGTCAGCATGGTCAGTACGGTATCAAAGAACAGATTTATTTAAAGTTTAATCCAAATATTGTTTTTTTTAATACAGCCCTGTGAGTCGCATCTCAATGCATGCAGCATCTCAAAATTAATTGCATGATTTCCAAGACAAGCAATGGAGGCCTATAAACAAATTGACAGACTGACAGATGAACGACCAGTTATATACCCCCCCCTTCCCAGGTGGGAAATTTATCAAACTTATAAGAAATATGTACTCAAACAATAAATGTTGCTGTAGAGATGAATTTTACTATATCGAACCTTTTGTAGCTAAACGCAGGGTTAAACAAGGAGATAACATTTCCCCTACATTTTTGAAATATATTATTTATTGACGATTTCTACTCGCAACTAGTAAATATTAACACTAACTCACCAGAACTACAAAATATTGAAGTTATTTATTCTTTGCAGATGACTTTTAAAAATCAATTAAAGAAAGACTCCAAAACTCAGTATAGACTGTCTCTCAGAATATTGCATGAAATCAAAATTGACAGTTAACCTTGATAAAACTAAGGCAATGATTTTTTTTTCAAATAAGAAAATTGACACAGCTCAACATTGAGTCTATTAGTCATAGCACATAAATATAAAATATAAAATATCTGGGATTATTTTTACTTCTAACGGTAAACTTAAATATGCAGCTGAACAGCTACATGTATAGCTGACCATGCAAGGAAAAGCTTTTTATGCGATGAAACATTCTTTACTCTTTCATAATAATTTATCTGTAAAAACTCATTAAGACTATATTCTTCACTTACTGAACCTATCATTTCGTATGATTCTGAGATATGGATTTCAGAATTAATATTGATACATGTATAAACAATTGTGATCAACTACCTTTTGAAAGATCTCATATTTAAAGACATTTTGGATGTACAAAAAAGCTTCTTTAGCCATTAAATACGGGCTAGGAACACCCCCTTCCCTATTTGTTGCAAAGCTTTCATCTATACCACTCTATGTTTAAATATTACAAGAGACTAAAAAACATAATAATGAAAATAGAATTAAAAATTCTTATTGCTGCTTTCTTAGAAGATGTCGATCTTTATAATACTGGCGTGAAGGAAAATAACTGGCAGGGTCAGATTGATAAATAAAAAAAAAAAAAACTCCAGCCATTAAATATTACTGACTGATAGTGCATTTAGCAGCTGTTTGAAGAATTTCTAGATACAAAAAGTTGATATGGAACTTCAGAACATTAAATTCTCCAAATGTGGTGAATTATTATTTAACAGTCAAATTAAGAACTACATAATGAATTACAAGAATACTTGAAATTTCCAATTAATAAATCAATACGTTCTACGTGTAACTAAACAAAACTGAGAATTCTGCACACTTTCTAGAAATTGTTCAAAGTCATGTATCCCAGAATCTCGTTTTTGTCACCTTTGTAAAACTGTTGTAGAAGACGAAATACATTCAGACGAAGAAACAAGTTGATGTAACTGACCTAGAAAAATTGACTTGTGAAATGGGTTTATTTAATATAAAGAAAAAATATGTCGGTCGGTATGTACCGCTAAATATCTTGAGAACCTTTGTTTGACTGGCATTAAACTTGGTTCACTGATTTTCACTTAATGAGCAAATGTCCATTATTGATTTTGAGGTTACAAGGTCAAAGGTCAAATCTGGCATATTGGTCCCCATTAAAGCGTAAATGATCCCGATTGATTTTGAGGTCACAAGGTTTAAGATTTTAGCCCCCCCCCCCCATTTCACACGTCTCTGACTTTTTTTCCAATGTAAAAATTGCTTTGACAAACAAACCTATACAACTCTGACATGTTTCTTTTTAATAACGTTCTTTTTAGAACATGTGTTTCGATTACGAGAACCTATTAAGTATCAAGTAAAAAACACATTCAATCCAACTATCTCGTAATTACGAGATAATAATCTCATTCATTATCACAAAAAAAAAGATCTCGTTATTGTGAGAAGTTATCTCGTCGTTACAAGAAAAATCATTGTCGATTTTCTTTTTTTTTTTCTTTTCTTTTTTTTTTTTAGGTAATTTTCACGTGATTACGAGATAGTTGAATTGAATTGAATTTTTCTACATGATAGTAATAGGCTTAATTTCGTACTAGATCACTTAAGATCTTATAACGAAAATGAACTTGTCGATGTCCATGCATGTAGGGGTTGGGTTGGGGGTCCATAAATACTAAATGTGTACTCTGTGCATTTTCTTACATTTGTGAATAAGAAATTTACTCTTATTACAGAGCTTCCAGTGATAATCTAGAACACAGGGTATCAGCAAAAAATAACAATGGGGAAGAAAACATGCATTAAATTAGAATAATTGAATTTTGGTTGTAACGCGTCATTTGATTGGATAAAAAAAATAAACTACATGTATATCGTATAACCTGGGTTGCCTACGTCACAATGACTTACGTCAAAAACGTATCAATCTGCTTGACGTTACAATTAAAACACGTACAATTTGCAGGCATTTTTGAAGAAGAAATTGTCTTATTTTTTGACGCTTAATGATGAAAAATTAAATTACAAGGAATGAATTTAATAGCTACCCAAGTTATACTGGTATAACCTGGATTGGGACAGTTTACGCTTTTTTTTATAAACCGCTTCGCGATTTTGAGGTTACAAGGTCAAAGGTCAAGGGTTAAACTATTCATATTGTCAACTCAATATCATAAGAAACCTTTTTTTGACCGACAATAAATCTGGCATTTTGGTCCCCATTAAGGAGTAAATGATCCCGACTGATTTGAGGTCACAACGTCTAAGGTAAAGTATCAAACTTGACATTATCCAGTTATTGACTGGGTATGAAAGCAACATATGATTTGTTGGACCTGAAGGTGAAAATGTTGCCCAAGGCCGCACTGACAGACCGGTCAACAATGAAATTGTTTCAGACCGATGAAGGAAACATTTACTTTGTTGGACTTTTTATTTGTAATAAATATATAGAAAGATATTGATAAGGGTATAACAAAGGAAGATATTGACCGTTCGATATTTTGAGAATCTTCTGCTTGACACAAACATCAATCTTGGTACACTAGTTGAGGTTAAAAGTCTAAGGTCAGTGGTCACACTGGACATAGGGAGATATTGATCTCTTAATCTTTAGAATTCTTTGCTTGACTGACATCAAACTTGGTACACTGGTTCCTCTCAAGGATTAAATAACCACTGTGGATATGAAGTTAACGAAGTCAACAGATAAGGCTCAGACTGGATAGGAAGCTTCATAATAATATCGCTCAATAATATCGTAGAAGAGAATGGTAATAAACACTTTGCCAGTCAATTTTCTCTAAAAGTGTAAATGACTGCGAGTCTGGGGAGGGCGTACTCCATGTAATTCGGAGTTAGCTAGATAGCTTGTCGTTATTGTTATAATATACTATGGGTTAAAAAATACTAGTATTACAGAAACAAAATCCTGGGGAGATGAGTTTTATAGAACAGAACACATATGAGATTTATTTTTTCCACCCACATTTTGTTAACGTGTTCTTTACAAACAACATCAATATCTGAAATATAAATTAACTTTTTTCAGATGAAGGCCCATCAAGTAAAGATTAAATGATTTATAAATAACCAGTTCAACATAGTGTCTTCAGAGTCCGTATATAGATGCCCAGATCTCAACTTAAAGGGGCCTGGACACAATTGCATTGTTTACATTTTAAATTTCTAAGCTTATTCAAAGAATAAAACCAGTTAAATGAATTGAACTTACATGAATATTCTTAGAAAAAAAATGACAAAGACATTCTTCTTTACATCACGTCAAACATAACTATTTTCAATTTGTTAAACTCTGCACACATCACTGAGCACCGACTGACAATACTTGTGAGTTGGTTTTCTGGATTTTCTAATTTTCTAATTTTTTCTAATTTATAATTTTCTGGATTAAAGTTTTAATATTTTTCATTAATAGTTAATACACAACAAAATTTCTACTTTTCATAAGTATTAAGGATAAAGTTTACTTTGTGAAAGTGCAAGGATGTGTCAATCAAACGCGTTCCGAAATTCGTAGTTTCAATAATTTCCAGTTAAAAGAAGTTTCCAAACACTATTTTATTATATTTCCGTGAGAAATGCTATAGCAACATGTAAGTCATGATATTATACTGAAAATTTGAGAAAATATTAACTTCAAATCTGTCCAGGCCCCTTTAAGGGACTTACGATTGAGTCCTTTGTCCTTGGTTATCGTAATATAACTGTGTATTATACAATAAATGGAAGGGAATGCAGCACATAATTTAGGTGCTCTTAAATTAAAACAGTCTTTTTGAAGTTTTAGTTCTGTACCACTCATCATACCATATACAGTGTACACAATGAGAAACTATAAAACAAAAGAATGCAGGAGCTTGAGAATAATTGCATATTATTTTTAAATCTCTAGTTTGGACAGGTCCCTGGAGGAGAATTTGGATATCCAAATCTAGTACACTTCATTTTGTCATTCAAATTTACATCTGTGATGTGATTTATATCAAAACGTCTGTTTTTCCAGTCGAGTATTTTAGCACCCAAGTTAAATGTCCCGGAATGAGAAAAATGACAGTCCGTTATCCTATATTTTGTTCCACTGAACGCGATTTTCAAATCAATGACATCCACAGAGATATTCCGAAGTTCTTGAATATTTATTTGATATATGTAAAAATCGCGTGAAGATCGAGAATTTCTCACAGCGCCCTGTTCCACCTTTTCAATGTAGGCATGTTCTAATTCCTTTCTGGTCACGGTGACATTTCTGGTAACTATAAAAAGGTGTCTTGTCCTGGTGTTCCCTCCATTTTTTCGGATAAAGTTTGGTGTATTCTGAGCATTATTAAAGGCATCTTGGATGGTA